AAGATAGAATGATACTATCTATCTTAAGATCTATGTCTGAACTTACTGCGCCGCAATGAAAGAACCCGAATATCACCGCTCTTGTGTTCTTTAACTCAGTCTTGTACGCATCCAACTTGGTCGGGATGTCAGTCGAGGTAGAACAAATCTCGAAAAGAGGCACAATCAGTCGTCAAGCAGATTGGTAAAAACAATACTGAAAAGGACATGAGTAATCACCCGGCGAGGGAACCTTGAGAGGGCTCCAATAGCTTACCAAAACGAACAATCATTCAATTATTTCCAGATACGTGTAAGGCAGAGAAGGAGGGATGTTTATAAATCTTTCTCTTCAGTTTTAGTGAAAGAGAATCATCTAGGCCGACTAGGTCGTAGCTAACGCAACTGGACAGCTTCGCGATATTCAGCAGCAAGGGTCTGAGCATGGATCATCCCAGACTAGACTTAAAGTTCATCGCGGCTTTCGGTATTTAGGAGATTCCGTATTGCTGCACTGATTGCCGTCTTATGGCTCGTGCAGAAGCAGCGAATGACGCGGGATTACTTCGAGGTCCCCTTTCCCCGCAACTGTGCATCGGTTCGTTCAGCCTCCACATCTGCTTAAGAAGAACTATCAACTGCAGTACATACTTTAAGGAAACATATCGATAAGTCAGAAACTCCTCACGTACAGCGCTTCAACGCACTAGCTGATGCTTCGCGAAGGCCTTCAACATGAGCCAAGTGAACCAATCCAAACATCCCGGGGATGACATCATCCCGGATGCCGCCATGATGTTCAACGAGTACCGCACCATGCGGGCTCCCGCTGAAGAGATATTTCCCTGGGTCGTTCAGCTCGGCAAGTCGCGCGGCGGATGGTACCTCCCGAAGCGATGGGAACGAGTTGTACCAAAATCCTGGGCTGGGGCTCGTACAATCAAACCTGAATTCCAAGAGTTAAAAATCGGCGACAGAGTCCCCGACTACGGCCTGAGTAAAGATGATTCGTTTAATGTTGTCAGCATCAATCCTCCCCGTTCGCTGGTCTACACGAGCATTCGATATGGTACGAGGATCACGTGGGCCATCCTCCTCCATGAGTCCAACATCGAAGGCACAGATGGATCGAGGGTAGAAACCACGGTACATCTCCGGCTCCGTGCCGGTATCACCTCTAAGGGAGTCGTCAAACGAATGATCATTTGGGCCGCGGGCAAATTCGACCATGCGACGACAGTGCCGATGCTAGCTGGGCTGGCGGAGCGAGTTGAGAAAGATCATGCAAATTAGGGACTAGTGAAAATTCGAGTATGTCCATGTATTACACCACAATACGATAGTATTAAAACAAGAGAATAGGGGTTATTTGACAAGAATGAGCGCATAAACGTCCCTTTCAGGTGACGTCCAATACCAATCAATGTTTGTCATGGGCGTGCAAGCGACGAGACTAAAAGAACCGTAGATACTGCGTGTTGCAACCGGTTCCCTGATGCATCTCCTGCTCAATTGTTCGTCGAGACCGTTGAGCACGTGCGTCTGCTGTTCCAGACGATCCAGTAGAACATCGTTGATCACGTTAATCACACCCATTGTGTAATTAAGTCGTTACACGATCTTTGTTCAACGTAAAAATTGATTCTAACGCCAATGTGACACGGATAACCTGTCTTTCTCATCACTCTATACACATTCAGCCCCATACCTAATATTTTCGAACCTCACTATGTGTGGGTGGCAAGTTTGCCAAGCCTCCACATGGCTAAGGATAACTTAGAATCAGGAGACAATGGCTTCCATCCCAAATCATCCCCATAACATCCAATATTAATCCATGGGTTGATTGGACCAATCCTAGGCAAGTTTCACTGTCAAATAATCTTGTTGAGTCAGTCTCTCAGCTATTTAAGCGCCTTGGCTTCTCCGATGTCTATCGCTGCGACATGCCGGGGTTCTTTTCGGCAACGGGGGGAAAGTTCAGCTCTGACCACGTGGGAAACACGCGTATGCATAGTCCCCGCTTCGATAACAACTCACAGGCTGCCGGGTATGAAGATCACTGCACAGGGGAATACAGCAACAAGCTTTCTGGGCCTCATGTAACCTGCATCAACCCTGCGATGATGGAGACACGGACAGACCCGACAGCTGCGTAGACTTTCAGGGTCAATCCGCACAAAGTGATTCCTTCGCTGTAACTGCCGTGCAGATAGGGCAGACGATATTATGTGCAAGTGGGGTAACATAGAGTCTAATTCGTCTGAAGCTCATGGATTCTCGTCCGAGCAGCGGCTATAACTTCTATGTCAGTCTCTACAAAGAAAGTCGAAGGACTAGGGATATCCTTCTCATCAACACTAACGTCTGTCTTGAGATGGTGTCTGGGGCGGCACCTGCAGTATCTACATCAATTGAACTTGTTTTCGGCAACCACGTTGCTCCTCGTGAGAAATAAGGTTCCAAACTTTGTGCCTACGATATCGCGCTTTGGCATTTTTCGCGATCAAAGAATGGTCGAAATTCTAGCGGGCTCATTTCGGGTTCGTCTTAGCTACCTGAGTCAAGCAAACAATAAGTCTATTGAGTTTGACTGCGTGGGCAGCCAGGCTTCCAGGTCGTCTCGGGCCGGGGCTAGGTGCGCCGGATGCAGCCAAGTCTCTGCCGAAGCCCCTGCCGAAGCCGCTTTCCATCATTGTTGGTTTCGCCTGTCTGTCTTAGTTCCAGCCTAAGCACGCCGCGAACATCAAAAAGCCACATTCATTTTAAAAAGTTCACGGCGCCACTTTTTTTTTTTGGTTTCTCTTGCCTCGGCATGTAGGCTTTGCGTCGTGTTTCCAAGCTTCTGAATCGTCAGGGGTCGCGAATTGCTTTCGCCTTCGTCGTTGCAGCATCAGACTGCTAGGTCGATATGAAGCGAACTATTCTAAACATCCTGGCAGGGTTGGCTTGTCAGACCACGATGGCTTCCGCGATGGTGTTGAGCGCGGTGCCATCGAATGCAACATCACTACCGACCACAGCCGACCCGGCTGGCGTTGCATCGCAGCAGATGTCGAGCATGCTATCACCTTGCGCGGTATGTTCCACCCACTATCAATGCGCAAGTCCATTTGGAAGGAAGGTTGCTGAGGCAGTGCTATGCAGATGAACTGCACAGCAGCAGAGCTAGCGAAGTCCACTTGTCAACCCACCGATTTCGTCTGTATATGTACGAATCAACAGCTCAATGATGGGATAGCTGGATGTTTGATGCAGAATTGCACTGTTGTTGAATCATTACGTGAGTTCGATTATTTCTTCGTATCATGGCACCTCCTAGATGCGTTACTAACGTGATGCATACACGAATAGAAGCTCAAAACTACTCCAAATCTTCGTGTGGGGCGCCTTTCACTCGCAATTTGGACCAGCCTCCAATTACGTGGACTATCTTCACGCTCTCATTCATAGCGGTTTCAAGCCGCTTCATATCCAAGATTCCTTCTTTGAATCCAGCTTTTCCTTTTGGGTGGGACGATTGGGCAATTCTGGCGTCTATGGTTCGCTCATCAACGCGGCACTCTATGTTAGCACAAGCTAATGTCTTTCCATAGATCATACTAGTAGCTTCTGACGTTGGATCTCAAGTGCGTAAGTATACACCCCGAACCAGATATTTAGCCTGTCCTCACCGAAAACAGTCGTAAGCCTGGGCTTCGGTCAAGATATCTGGACAGTTGCGCCAGATAACATCACCCAAATACTGCTTGTGAGTAAAGTTTGCTTCAATGTTGGATGTCTTTCTGATTGTGTGTTCAGATATTCTTTGCCGAAGAACTCTTCTATTCCTTTGTGGTAGCGGTTACAAAACTCTCAGTGATCATCTTTTACTTGAGGTTATTCCAAGAGAGCTGGTTCCGAAAAGCCTCTTATGGTCTGCTTGGTATCACAACAATGTACGGGATCGGCCAAATCCTTGCGATCATTTTCGTCTGTAGTCCAGTCTCGTACAACTGGACACGGTGGGATGGGCAGCATGCAGGGCAGGTATGAATTTTGTCATCCTTCATTATCCCCTTTTCCTGACTCCAAAATCGCCGCTCACACCTTAGACAGTGTGGTAAAGTCAACATCATGACTTTCGTGAATGGAGGGACCAACATCGCCATTGACCTCGCCCTCGTCATTCTCCCAGTAACACAATTGTAAGTTCTGTCGGAGCTTCTTAACACCATTTAAGGTGCCTGACATGACGCTTTAGCATTACCGTGTCGTGGACAATCTGGAAAAAGATTGGCGTGAGCCTCATCTTCTTGGTCGGATTGTTGTATGTATTGCCCCACGTTGAAGCGATTCCTCAGTACCTGGCTCATAGTCCTCTTCAGTGTCACCGTGTCAAGTTGCATAAGACTGGCAACAGTTGCGAAATTTGCGGACACACAGAATCCAACATGTGAGTAGCATCGACCACCTGAACGTGATGATAAGTGGCTCTAATATGTCGAAAGTCGACTTCAAAGCCCTCTCGATCTGGTCGCTCGTTGAGATGCACGCCAGTGTCATATGTGCCTGCATGCCGGGTATGACGGCTTTCGTCCGACGCGTCAAGCCACGACTGGGATGTCACGCGGAGCACACGCCCGAACAGATAAGGAACAAGCCTAGAACAGGGCGTTCCGTTGCACGCAAGATAAGAGAGACGTTTAGCCGTATCACGGCGGCAGCCAGAGAGGTGGGCAACACCTCGACGTGGAACAGTTCGAAGAAGACTACAACGAGCACGATGACCGGCACTCAACTGAGCACAATTGATCGAGACGCACCCGAGTACCGTGACTACGTCGTCTATGCCCCGTATGCGGAACAAGGGGACAAGGCACTTCCACAGACTAGCATACGCGGTGATAGAGCAAGTTGAGAATTGAATATGAAGTATCATGAAGGACGCTATCTGATGATCCACTTGAATGTTCTAGATCTTGACGATTGCATTTGTTATGTGATGATTTTAATCCTATCTAATCATCTGATACCATCTCTTAAACGCTTGTTTGTCTGCCCGCATTGGGGAATGACATCTGCGCCGCACGAGACAGGCGCGCTGAGTGACCAGTGATGTTCGGGTCTTCGCCTAGGAAGTTGCTTGGGAACCCAACATCAAACGGCTTGACGCTCTCCAAATAGGCAATCTGCTCGTCGGTGAGCTTGATCTTGAGGGCCTCGATGTTCTGCTTCAAGTGCTCGACCTTCCTGCCGCCCACGATTGGGAAAACATTCGGCGCCTTGCTGCGAACGTAAGCCAGCGCAATAGCCGTCACGCTCTCGGTTCCGTGCTCGCTCGCTACCTTGGCCAAAGCCTCGCTGATCTTGATCTCCAACTCCGTTTGCTCGCCTGTGCTGACGAATGATCTCAAGCCCTCGCCATTCTTCTTACGCTCCTCGATCGCCTTCTTGGTCTGGAACTTGCCCGAGCCCAAGACATCCCACGGGCACAAGGCCATGCCAAACATCCTAGCCATCGGCAGAATATCCCGCTCAAAATCTCGGTGCATCACACTCCAACGACCCTGGTAGACACTGAAAGGCGTCTTTCCATGATCGATGGCATATGTGTTGGCTGCGCTGACGACCCAGGCAGGGGTGTCGGAGATACCGAGATAAAGCACCTTTCCTTGTTCGACCAGAATATGCAGGGAATCCATAATCTCCTTGATAGAAGTTGTGTAGTCCCACCAGTGCACATACAAAATATCGATGAAATCCGTTTGGAGCTTCTTCAAAGACGCCTCAACGCTGAGATGCAGGCTGCGACGGTGGTTGCCCATGAAGTTTGCCGTGTTCCCCTTGCCGTACAGATGGCTCCTGAAGTCGGAAGTGTATTTGGTAGCGATAATCATGCGGTCACGGTTCTTTCTCTCAGCCATCCAGTCGCCGATCCAGGTTTCCGACTGCTCATCCTGGTAGTTGTTTGCAGTATCGATGAAGTTGCCGCCTGCTTCATAGTATGCGTCCAGAAGCTTGAAAGACTGCTCCTTGTTCATCGCGCCCATTGCCTCCGCCCAGGCTTCACCAATTGACATGGCGCCGAGAGCCAGGGATGAGACGCGAAGCCCGGCGGTGGAAGAAAGAACCCGCATTCTGCCCAGCTCGGTGGCCGGCTCGGGAGCAGATGCGAGGAAGTTCGACATGATGACGGTTGTAATCTGTGCAATTGATTGAGTTGGTTGCTTCGTCGGTAGCTGTTTTCTTGAATAGACTGGTGTTTCTTTCCAATAATTCCGGTGTTGCGATAGCTCTTAACTGTTTTATAATGATGTCCAGTGAGGGGTTCCGGCTGTAGACGGTCTAGCTTGGTGACATGGTTGACTAATGCGCGGAAATACCTGCCGGATTTTAGCAACATTCCGCGGTTGGGTCACAAAGGTGAAGCGACCATTGAAGCCGTCATGCAGCCCAGGTGCGGGGATCATTCGAGATAATGACGTAGCGAGAATGTTGATCGGTTTCGGTACGACAATGTAACATGAGGAACAGAGTTTCAAGGGGATCCATCGGGCCCTCCAGTTACACATGAAATCGGGGATAACGATCGGTAGCATAGCCCGGCATTCTTCTTCGCCGAATAAATCCTTCGGTCTTACTACCGATCGGTAGGGGCCGTGCGGGGCCCGGAGACGGCCGGAGTTTGCGGGGCTAAGTCCGGGGTGACTGTGTCAGCCTTCGGCTCCGTGGAGAGACGCGAAAAAGAGATAAAGCGCCATATTCTGCAAGTTGTTGGCTATTATGACTGTACTGACTTCACTGCTGGCTACGCTCTGGCCTTTCAGCCCCTTGCAACGAGCGCTATGATCCTGAAGTGACCGAACAGCTGAAGTCACCAAGACCTGTTTGGCGATGCAAACGACACCGGAAGGAGTGCGTGAAATGAGAAAGAATGGGTTAAAGAAGTAGCGTCTATGAGACAAAAGTCGAATCTTGTAGGAAATCAATCCAGTCCAATCCTACTATTACTCCCACGCCAAATAAGTTACTTCCTGCTGGCCTTGAGCTGTTTGACGATCTTGTTGATATGGATGATGGCATCCCGCGCTCCATCCCAAGTTCTCCGTTTCCCTGTTTCAAAGTACCTGAACGCATGTGCTGTCTCGACGCCATGATTGATCAGATAACACATGTAAGGGTCCTTGAACCAGCTTACCCAGCCCCGCCATCCCCAGCCCAGATTCTCCATGCCAGTCCCGGCGGCTTTATGAAGGAAACCCTGGAACTCCCATTGTTTAACTGCAGAAGTGTCGGTTCTGGGCTCCTTGAACCAGCGGCCTGCTACCCACTGGTGGTGTTTGTCAATTGCGCGGTCCATCTCAGCTCTTGGGGGGATCATATCCGAGCTGACACCCCGCCAGACATTACTGATGGCCATGGACGTTACATCTGAGAAGGAGAAGCCGTTATTCTTTCCAAAGGCAGAGTAGGCGAGGACAGCAATACTATCCCAATGAGCTGGCGGGAAGATGTTCATGTACAGGTGCTGCAGGGGTGGGCCGCCGTAAGCGTTGCCCGCGAGGTCGGTCTTGGGTTTGCTCGTCTCCAAAAAGGGAATCGGATCAAAGTCAGCCTTGTATCCGGTGCAGAGGATGACTGAATCGACATCATCTAGAATAGTGCCGTCCTGAAACTCGATTGACTTCGGGCCGGTGAACCTCTTGATGCCATGCATAGACGTGACCTTGCCCTCTCGGAGAAGCTCTAGGACAGTATCCATGCACCCTGCCAGATGCAAGCTGAGTGGCGCAACATCATCGAGTAGTCTGAAAGATGGATCAATCTTTCCGTACTGTCTCATCAAAAGGCCAGTTGCAAGTTGAGCAAGCTTATTGGTGAGATTTGGGAACTTGCTTTGAATGAACAACGACACCTGTCTACGCCAGCGCGTAACGAGGAGGTCGGTTGGAAGATTGTTTCGCCATCTGCTTATGATCCAGGCGCCCGCTCGATGTGAAAGAAAGACCTGGTCGCTTTGGTCCACAATGACCGAAAGGACATCGCTCAGAGTGGCACTGAGCCCTACAAGGACAACCTTTTGTCCCTTGAAATCAGATGGTCTAGACGTCTCATGTAAGTAAAGAGCCTAAGTGGAAGATCCTGTGTATGAGGAGGATACCAACATACTTGCGAAACTGCTGCGAGTGTATGATAGTGCCTTCAAACTTGGCTTGGCCCTCGTAAACTGGCATCTTCTTCTTTGTCTGATACCCATGACAGAAAACAACCTTGTCAAACTCTTTCGTTTCAGGCGCACCGGATCTAACCATCTCCACTTGCCATTTCGACCCATTTCTGTTACGCACGACCTGATCAACTCGTGCATTGAAGACGATGTGTTTATATAGGTCAAAGTTCTCGGCGTACGACTCCATGTATTCCTCAAACTGTCCTTGCGATAAGAACGGGGGATATTCTGCCCCAGTATTAGCTTTGAAAGGGACGAACAAGTTGGTACCCACTGTCTGGCATAGGAAAGTCTGTGAACCCACACGTGTACTTGCTGATGTTTGCGCTTGTCGCTAGAATCTTGGGTCAGAGAAGAACTGATGAGTGGCTCCTGGTTGAGAGACTCACTTGGAAGAGCAGTCGTCATGCTCTTGTCATCAGTGTATGACCACAAACCTCCCACCCGACTCCTTCGTTCGAATAATGTCACGTCGAACCCATCTTCACGCAAAGTCTTGAGCATTGAAATGCCAGTCGAGCCTAAGGTCCATCATCAGCAGACGAGCTAATGGGAGTCCGAGGTTGATGTCTCAATCCTCACCAGCGCCGATGACGGCTACTGTCGGTGGGTCTCCTTGGATCTTGTCCATCACAGCTTTGGACAATATTGCGCACGATGGGACTTGAAGGAAATCTCGAAGGTCGATGAAGCAATTACCAAAAAGCTTGTTTCTAATGAGACATCCATGACAGCGCGGAAACGTACGGACATGGTGAGATTTTAAGACAAGGAGATTGCGGGCGCGCGTTCGTCAGCACTAGCGACAGCAGCCACCGCGTGAAGTGGCTGCAAGCGCGGTGCATCGGAGGAATCCTTCGTGGACAACGAAACTCCCATTTGCCATACTCCCCTTCCGGATAGCAACCACCCTCGAGATCTGGCATTGCGAACAAGAAACTCCAATCAAATCGTCCTTCCGAGATTTCGTGCGTGAGACGCAGGATTTGGAGCAGGGGTAGAAATGACAGCAACATGCCGCTAGCGAGACGCGTCGATGAAATGATTGATCGACACCACCAAATGTCTTTTGGAGTGCGCCACAGGCTATGGCACAGCAACCCGGGCCGACCAAACAATGTGCTTCGTAGTTGCCATCAATGGGACTTTGGCTGGCGCATGGAGCTATCTCTTTTCTTACCGTCTGACAGCAGCCATGTTTCTGACATTCGGTACACTGTTTACCCTCACACACTCGCCATACGATAAATACCAGGCCACTAATCAACACATTCCCAAGCTCACGTCGGGCTTTGTTCTTCACTTATTCACCCATAGAGCATGTATGTGCAACTCGGCTCGCATTGCGGCCATTTTAATAAACGACAGGGGTATCTATGATAGTCCAACTTTACAATGATTTTACAACTCCTGCTCCTTGTCGAGGGCCGTCTTGACGGCCTCGCCCCTGACAGTAGCCTCCGGGGTGTATCCCTTGAACTGGCGCGCGGGAACACCCTTCATGAACATCTCGTCCAGTTCCTCGTAAGTCCTTCCGGCAGTCTCGGGCAGTTTGAACCACAGGTGTACCAATGAGATGACAGACAAGCCTCCGAAGATGAAGGCCAGCTTGGCGCCCAAGTTGAGCTTGTCGGGGTTGAAGAGGTAGGGGAGAACAAAGTTCCACATGGTTTCGAGGGCCTTTTGGCACGCCAGACCAATGGCGATGGTCTTGATACGCAGACGGGAGGTAGACACCTCAGCAAGGACTGTGTACGCGGTAGCACCGATGGTAACGTTGTACCACCAGCAGTAGAGGAGGATTAGAGCGACGGTGCCCTTGTTTGTGGCAAGGGTGCCGGGAAGAGCGAGGCCACCGGTGACCAGGAGAATGACGGTCAGGACGGCAAGGCCATTGACAGTAAGGCTGCGACGTCCCATTCTGTCGACTAAGTACCATGACATGACGTTGCCGATCAGAGAGATGACTTGCTGAACAATCTGGAGCTTGAAGCTGTCGGCAGTGCTGTATCCAGCGAGTTGCATGTAGTACTGGTAGGTTGTTAGTTTCGCTGCCTTCTTAAATTCATGAGATAGAGACTTACAGTGCTGTAGGAGGCGGCGAAGGTGATGCCTGACAGACTCTGGATGCAGAGAGGAGAGATGGAGATGATGGTACGTCGGAGGTTGGACTTGCGGAAGCACTCCAGGTAGCTGGCGCCAGCGGTTTCACTCGTGATCTGGTCCAACGTCTGGTTGATGACCGCAAGACGAACTCTTCCCTCATCACCTGTGTGTCCTAGTTGTGCCAGACACTTCAAGGCCTTATCCTGCTTTCCTTTGATGGCAAGGTACCAGGGGCTCTCGGGCATGAACCAGATACCGGCGGCGGCGATGGCGGCAAATCCGTATTGTCCGCAGAAGACGGCGCGGTAGGCCCAGCGGCTGTTGAGGGTTCCGGTCTCGTTGATGATGACGGCGACGATGAGGGGTCCGAGGGTATACGAGAGACCTGTGAGACAGGTGAAGAGACCTCGTAGGGCAAGAGGAGTGATCTACATTGGGTCAGTCAGAATTTGTTTATGCCACGTGGATCGCACTACAGAGAGTGTTCCTCGACGACTCACCTCTCCAATGTATGTAACCGTGACGGAACCAAGAGCACCGATAGCGAAACCGTTGATGAACTTTCCGCCAAAGAAGACCTCGTTGGTTGTTGCGACAAACTCGAGAGTGATTCCGACGAATGAGAAACCCAGGGCAATCATAATGACAGTCTTTCGGCCAAGCCAATCAGCAAGGTTACCGCTGCCCAAAGCACCAATAACAGCGCTGCACGAGTTGATTGTTAGTAGACTGATTCTTCAAACCCCTAATCACTCCAAGAATCACTTACGAGGCAACGGGGGCGCCATTGAATGCAGACTGCCACTTCGTGTCGAGAACATAGTCGCCGTCGTAGAAATGTCCAAAGTCTTTCCTGAACTCGGGGATAGACAGAATGCTACCTCCGGCCTGGTTCTCGAAACTCAAGACCAGCACACACCAGACGGCGTAGACACACCAGAATGACGCCTTGGGGTATTTCCTCAGAGACTCCCACTTGCCAAGCTCATGCTCTTCCGCATTTCCCAAGTTGGCCAGTTGAGCCCGAGCCTCGTTGGGATGCTCGAGGTGGTCGGTGTTGTTCTTCTCCGTATCGCCGCCCATGGTGAAAATTTTGTCGCGTTGCGAAATCAGAACAATTCTCAGGATGCTGACAGTTGCGTGGGATTGGTTGGCAGGCTTTGACTTGGTTGCTTGCAAGATAAAAAGACTAAAGCCAACAAACGCCAAGGTGCAGACAAAACACCATGTTGCACTATCAAGGGCGTTGACAAGTCTTTATAAAAAGATACCCCCACGACTCGTACTTACGATGCCATCCGATGGCCCACGCCGACATCATGGAATGGTCACCCTATTCTGGAACCTCTCGGGAAGGATGACGGTGGATCTGGGGAGGTTTCCAGCAGACAGCATGATCTGGGGATGGACCTGCGGGGCCCCGATCAAAAGTCGGAGCATGGAGAGTGGTGGGTTGTGGACAGGACGAGTCAGGGGAGTCAGGCCAATATCCACCCTTTGGCCGCTGAAGTGCCTCTGGTTTCCCCATGCAGGAATTGTAACCCCCGCACGAGAACCGGTTCCTGGGCTCAGGGGAATTTTGGAGAAATTTGTTGTGCCTCGTGCGTTGCACAAACACACGAACCCGGCTATTTCCGGCTCGCGAGCGTTGGGGGCTTCTCTCCACGACTTGACGGGCGTTTTCCAGCCATGTGGATTCGTTTCGGGGCCCTTTTCCGACTTTGGCTAGGCTTCTCACAACAAAGCGGATTCTCTGTCGACAGTCGGTCAAGTCCAGACTGCGCCGTTCGGCGGCGTAAACACGAGTTACCGATCAGTGATCACGCACTATCGCGGTGGCCGTACTCCGATGTTGGCCCGTGTTCCGTGCCGTCTTTCGCGTGGGAAGAAACAGAGAGTGGTTAGGATTTCCGTATCCGGCATCTCTAAACGCCGCATAACATTGGGTGTTTTTAATCGTTCGCCCTGCCCGTCTCCAAGTTTAAGCATTCATCTGATGTGATTGATGCTTGAAGTTGATCGAAATGATCAGGTCACGGCGCGAGATTTCATCGCGGTAACAGGGGCTTTCAAAATAGACTCCAACACTCAACGACGACAAGTTGATGAGTGCGGAACGAAAACCGCCCACAACTAGTCGCAGACACTCAAGACGCGTCAGTGAAGCTATTCCAATCCAACTCCTTCATTCGAAATGACGCAACCCCGGACCGAGGCCTCGGGAAATGATCCTGGACGTTTGTCCCCACACGAGTCGCGTGGGCGCTTGACAACCCCCAAACCGGACAAGCCCAGGTCCAGAAGCCATCGGCATGCGGGGTTGACACCCTGGAGAATATTTAGCAGCACCGGAATCCGGCCGAGGCCACCGCACGATGATTCGGGCCTGAAGACCACAGGCGAAGGTATCCAAACAAGGAAATCATTAGCATCCCACTTCCAAAGACACGTCGCGCGCGGAATCTCGTCATACAAAGGGACGCATTGCTTGCAAGCTGCAGGGCTTCGTTCAAGGAAAGGAAGACAATCGCATCATTCCAGATCATCAGGTGCCGGTTGAGAGAAACCCTTGTCGACGAAGTTGGACCGTCTCGTAACCTCATCTTCGTGGCTTCATTCTCTTCCCCTCACGTCACTCCTGCAGGCTGCACAGCGACCTGCAGACAATCCGACAAGATGGCGCAAACCACCAGACTTCAGACCTTCCCCAACAAGCCCAGAGTGTTTGTCCTCACAGACATTTCCAACGAGCCCGACGACGCGGAGTCCCTCGTCCGCTACCTCCTCTACTCCAACCAGTTCCAAACCGAAGGTCTCGTCGCAGTTTCTTCGACATGGATGAAGAACAAGGTCTGTCCCCAGGACATTCGCAAGATCCTCGACGCCTACGCCGGTGCAGTCGACAACCTCAACAAGCACACGCATCCCGACTACCCGTATCCCTCAGCGGACAGTCTCCGAGCCCTGGTCAAGTCGGGCCCACCGGTACGCAAACAACCCCCTACGCGATGAACCCCTTTTCGGCCAGAGAGGAAGATAGCTCCCATTTCGGTTTTCGGGATCTCGCTAATTCGTTTACGGATAGGTCTATGGTATGGCTGGCGTAGGTGCGGATAAGCCTTTGACCGACGGTGCCCAACTCCTTCTCGAAAGAATTGAGGCTGCTTCAGAAGACCCCTTGTGGGTGCTCGTCTGGGGTGGTACCAATGTCCTCGCCCAGGTCCTCCTGACCATCCGCGACAAGCACTCCCCCGAAGAGGCGGCTAAGCTGCGCGCCAAGTTGAGAGTATACACCATCTCAGACCAAGACGACACCTCCGCGTGGATCCGTACCCAGTTCCCCGACATCTTCTATATCTCATCCATCCACGGCTGGAACCAGTACGGTCTTGCCGCCTGGACTGGAATCTCTGGCGACAAGTACTATGGCTTTGACCAGGGCGGTCCCGACTTCTCCAAGGTCTCGAAGCAGTGGATCAAGGAGAACATTCAGATTGGCCCCCTGGGATCCGCCTACCCGGATTATCTCTTCATCCCTGAGGGTGACACCCCTACCTTCCTGTACCTGATCCAGAACGGTGTCGGTGACCGTGAGCACCCTGAATACGGATCATGGGGCGGTCGCTACGACCTGACAGACGCTAGCGACGCTGGCCAAAGAGGTAAGCACTACAGCGATATGTCGGATTCAGTTGTCGGCGCAGACGGCAAGACGTACCGTTCTAACCAGGCCACCATCTGGCGCTGGCGTGATACCTACCAGAACGACTTTGCTGCTCGTATGCAGTGGTCGCTCAACCCCGATGTGGCATCAACAAACCACCACCCCATCGTGGTCGTCAATGGAAAGGGCGGATTGGAGCCTTTGTACTTTGAAGCCGAGGCCGACAGCACCATCGAGCTGGATGCTTCAGACACGTACGACCCTGATGGCGACAACCTGACCTTCAAGTGGTGGCAATACCGCGAGCCCAGCGCGTCTCAATGGCTTGTCCAGTTCGAGGTTGCGCATCTCGGCATAGAGAAGCTGGATGCAGAGGGCAAGAAGATTAAGGTCACCGTGCCACCACCCGAGAAGTCCTGTTTGGAGTTGATCAGCCAGAAGCCCAAGGCTAAGGGCCAGTTGCTGCACTTGATCTTGGAAGTCACAGATAGTGGTTGCCCGGCTTTGACGAGCTACCGTCGCGTGCTGATTCAGGCTACGAACAAGGACCTAAGAGGAGGCAAAGACCTCAAGGATGGAGAGGGCCATGACGCTATTGGTGATGCTATGAAGGACTTTACTGGCTGAAATGAGTTATGAGATATGAATTCAAAGAAACGTTGAAACACTTATTGCGAATATCCTGCGTGTTGCCTCATGCATTCTAAGTTCGAGTTTATGACGGCTGGTTGGGCTCGCGTGTGAGATAAGGCTTCCCCTTCCTTGAGTATGCCGCGTGAGAGGGAGTGCCTCATGCCCTCACGAACCTCTTCTGCATCGACAATAGCCAAAATAAGCACTGACTGGGGACGAATCAGTACTAGGTAAGATAGCATGGGTCGTAAATGCTAGTGTGTCTGTATGCTTGACGAGTTTCCGTGTGGAATTCAAGGCCGATTCTCTCAATACGCTATGTCTAACCCCTTTCCTCTATATATGGAGTGCTCATTAAAAACTATTTCAGTCCTGATTGGCCCTCACCTTGGGGTGCCTTTGCACGACCATAACGTACATCCATGACGAAAAGCGACCGAAACACCAAGCAATAGCCCCTAGGGTATCTTCCTAGCCTGCATGTTTAATGTAAACTAAGGGGTCACAGCCACGGAAGGAAACTCTTTGGAGTCCCCTGGTGGCCACATGCCGCAGGGTTTCTCGCAGTGGATCCAATATATGGATCTTAGGGTTCCCAGCTTCCACACAACCAGCAGGTCGGTTAGCTCAGTTGGTTAGAGCGTGGTACTAATACGACATCCGTCGTGTTGAGTAATGCCAAGGCCGGGAGTTCAAGCCTCCCACTGATCACATTCTTTTGCTCCGAAGCATCGGCTTCTTTGCAAGTTGACTTTTTGCTGCATTTTAGAAATTTTGAGCGTAGCTGTGGATCCTGCTCCGATATCCGCCGGGAGATGCGGGGCGTGTGGGGCTGCAGCCGGGATCGGCAGATCCGTTCTTCGCCGATTGACCGTTTGTCAGGCCGAAGAGTCGCCGTGGCGGTTTGAAGAAAGAGGAGAGAAATGTGGCTTTTGATAAGCAATCTCTATCGCCATGCTCAAGCTAATCATCCGCCAAATAGATTACCGGCGCCGAGGATGGACGATTTCGATGCGATTGTGATCTCCACCAACAATCTTCGGCGCTGAAGACATTGCTCAGCAAGAATCCTTCCATCAGAAGAAGCACGGAAGTTCGTCCCAACGAATCCGGCTTCCGGACGCACGAGCCGAATGCTGCTCAAGCCGGACGACATTAGAATGCTCATACATTCCTGAGACGACTTGTCATCGCATTCGCCACGGCGAGAGGAGAGACAGCTCACTAGGGCGATTGGTAAGCCCCCGCAGAAATCCGCCCAGCCCACGGCCAGCCATTGTTGATCCAACAGCAGCTTTAGCGAGAGGACTAGGCATGCACAATGCTGTCATAGGACCCTAGATTGAATGCAGATTCCGAAGCTTATTTTTCCGCCTTCGGGGAGCTTCATCATTCCTCATAAAAAGCATTCGAGCTCTCGTATGATCGTTGTGGGCCACGATCTTCATCTTCTGCGCAGCTTAAGCCCGGCTCTCTCCCAGTTTTCTTTCCTTCCACGCACCCTCGACAGTTCCATCTTCAGTGAGCCGAAGAACGAATCAAAACATGGAGGTCGAAATCCCGGCAATTCACCCGGCGGTCGCCGTCAGGGCTCCCCGCGAGCCACTCATTCTCATCGATGCACCGACATATCCACCCGATGCCGGCGAAGTCATTGTGAAGGTTGAATGGACTTCTTCGACGCCTTATCATCTGCACCAGGCCGACGGAGGATTATTGATCGACATGTTCCCCCGCATTCTTGGCGACACCTTCGCAGGGACGGTGCTTATGGTTGGCCCCGGCCCGCATCATGTCGATCTCGAGGTTGGCGACAAAGTTCTGGGATACTCCTTCCGCGACGTCAAGGATGGCAAAGAGAAGGCTGCACAGACGCTCATCACTGTACCGACATATTTGCTCGGCAAGATGCCGCAAGGCTTGACCATGCAAGAGGCTGTCACTGTTCCCGACAACATTGTCACCGTTTTCCAGGCTGCCGTCATGGATCTCGGCCTGCCGCTGCCGTGGCCTATTCCCGAAGGGTGGACCCCTCCGGAGGCCGACGCGCCGATTTTGCTTTGGGGCGGGGCCGGGTCCGTGGGAATGTACTCCATCGAAGTCTTCCGGCATTGGGGATACAAGAACCTCGTCGTTGTCTCGAGCAAGAAGCATCACGAGTATTTGAAGTCACTCGGCGCCACCGTCTGTTTCGATTATCGAGACAAGCACGTTGTCGATGAAATCCGAGAGTACCTTGGGCCGCAAGGTGTGCCCTACGTGATCGACTGCATCGGACACTTGACGGGGTCATTACGGCACATCACAAAACTGGCGGACGACGGCACCAAAGTTGCTGTGATGCTGCCGGTGGTCATCAGTGACCCGACAGAAATTCAAGCACCTGTCTATCAGATGACGGAGCCAGCGGAAGGACAGTGGAAGGAGGGTGTCATTGTCAAGGGGGTTCGAACGCATTTTTATCTCAAGGTGAGATACATGCATTCCGAATCTGAACAATATTTCCATACTAACATCGAACAGAACCAACTCTTCAAAGACAAGATGCAATGCGAGATCATTCCGACGTTACTCGAGCAGAAGGTCGTGCGGCCGAACCCTCAGAGGATAGTGGAAGGCGAGACACTGCTGGAAAGGGCACAGGATGCGATCGTGCTACTGAGAAACAAGGCAGTAAGTGGTGAGAGACTGGTTTGGCGAGTTTCTGAAGACGATGCGGTAGTTTAAGCGTTGAATGTCACCCGCACTTTTGCGGTAAAAGTTTTTAATGCCACGAATCATTTTGATGTTTACCGAGGCGAGCATTTTCAATGGCTGTCTACTTGGAGCAGCATTAAAACTTCGAAATACGCTGTGAATGTGACTAAGAAACCCTGCGGAATCTATCTGGAAATCTATGGCTGATCGTGAACAGTGGTTTGGGTTGTGCGCTCCGTCGGAGGCGCGACAGAACTGGCACGGGATTCAGAAAAGGCCGAATTGCGGTTCTGCAAATCTTTCCAGGCACTGCTCGCGTGCGTCCGCTGCAGATTGAGACACGGAATTCCGCGCTAGAATAATCGCTTCGCTAGTCCTTGTGGTTCAAGGCTTGGAACAATCGCTCAGTGGAGTTGCATTTCCGGCTCCGCTCCGCATCCCCTCCGGCTCAATCATTCCTCCGACCGCAACGAACTATTCCCCTAGTAGGACTCATTCAGTGAAATCGATTCCATATAATTACATGGACCTATCTCATCTTGACTTGCATTTTAGTTTTTCGTGCAAACGACCATGGCCTCATCGATGTTGGCTATCACGGCACCAAGCTACACTGACCCTTCGGGATACCAGCTCTCCACAATACCCCAACCAGTTATCTCCGACCCTACGGATGTCCTATTTCGGGTTCACGCAGCGAGTATCAACCCAGTCGATGTGAAGAAAGCGGCTGGCATTTTTAAGCTTGCGGTAAAGGAAAGGTGCGTGCAGCGCTCCACGACTCCCATCATTATGCGTATTAGCTGATCTGATTGAGCATAGCTTTCCATACCAGATTGGATATGATTGCGCTGGGGTCGTAACGCAAGTCGGCAAAGACGTAAAGGCATCAAAGTTGGGGACGAAGTTTTTTCTCGCTTACGAGAAGCAAATCGAGGTAAGCACTTGGGTGAGCATGGAGGACTTGGATCTTGGTTTTAACGCATTATGTCACAGGAGCATGGAGCGAATATGCCAAATGCCCGGAACACTATGTCGCATTGAAGCCCAAAAACCTTTCATTTGAGGATGCTGCGTCGTTGCCGTTGGCCGGCATGACGGCGTTGCAGACATTAAGTCGATATCAGGGTTCGCTTGCGGGCAAGACGGTATTTGCTCCCGCGGGCTGTAAGTTTTGTCTGTTGATACTCAATCAACCTAAGCAAATCACTGACAGGTTCACAGTGAGTGGTACAGGAGCATATGCTTGCCAGCTGGCGAAGAAGGTTTTCAATGCCGGCAAGGTGATCACCACCGGCTCGACTTCAAAGGTTGACCAAGTGCCCAAGCTGTTGGGAGAGGGCACAGTCGATCAAGGTGCGTATTTCATGACAAGCCTTTTTCCGGTTTCCTGGCTAATAGCAAGCATTTAGTGATTGATCATACCAAGGAGGATCCGACAAAGGTGATTCCACGCGCATCAGTGGACTTCATCTTGGACACGACGGGTGAAGCCATGTCTTTTCTTCATCTCATGGTTCCGTCAACCAGCCTTATCGTCTCCATCTCAACGCAGCCATCTGGTACCCAACTTCAGCAGTCTAGCGTGATGAGACGACCTGATAATCCACGACTTCCGTGGTTCGGGCGCTTGTTCTTGGATTTTTTCGACACGTGTCGTAGGACACGGGCTCGAAGATGGGGCGTGGCGTACGAGTATTTGTTCCTTGACCCCAACGCGAAGGATCTCAAGACACTGGCCGGGCATGCGGAGGAGGGAAAGATTACGCCGGTAGTTGGATGCACGGTGAATCTCAAAGATGTTGACGAAGTCAAGGCTGCATGTGGGACAGTATACAACGGGAAGAGAGGGTTAGGCAAGACAGTGATTAGGGTTGGCTAGGAGACGCTAGACAAAGTGAAAGAACGATGTAGTATTTCAGGGTACTACTGCATCAATGGGCAAGTTTCGCTGCATTTTTGGGGGCAAATGAGTGAGCGGAGAAATAAGTTTTCTACCTTACTCCACACATGGGTAGATGGTCAGGGTTGTACAGGTATGGTCGGGGCGCCCCCATTGTGTTGACAGGAACTCGAAGTTACATCAAGGTGATGCATTAACAAGGGTCTCGACAAGAGAAGGATTGTTCATTTTATAAAGCTCGTTCTTTTATTATTTTGCAAAGCTTTGATGTGGATTTGCGGAGCAAACAGAATTCAATACACCGGCCCTATGATGCATCTCACGATATTCCATTTGTATCCTAAACTCCCCTATGATATTCGGTATATGATATGGAAAGAGTATTACCACCAGCCCAAAGACTGGAGAGCGACTTTCGAGCCTTATCCCGAATTATGGTTTGCGTGGAGTCACTACCACTGGTCAGACAATCAGTGTCCGGCTGAGAAAAGCGACAATATCATATGCAGAGAGGCGGAAATCGTGCGAAACATAGTCCAGCCGGTGTTCAAATTCCGACGATGGCGCACTTCTGTTGCATGTGTCAGCCACGACCATTTCCGAGTAAACTGGAATACCGACTGTGTCTGGCTCAAGCCTCGATCCAACTGTTGTGGAATTGCCTTCGCTTACAATGGAGCGCTGAGAGCATCGCTTGATTCTCAACCCACTTGGCTAAACAACGTACAAACCCTGGTGCTTCAGGCTCCTTTTATCGGCAGTACCAAGAACCAGACCTTACCGCATTATCTGCTTTGGGGTATCCGTTCCTACCTCACTAGCTTGAGAAAGGTTGTATGGGCAGTCAGAAGTGGATCCTTTCGCGGGTATATTCAAGAGCTGTGGTGCTACTTCCTATTGAGATGGATGATCCGTCAACGCCGACAATGGGAGAATGTAAAATGCCAACTACTGGATGCTAATCCACCAAGACATTCTGCATCATGGCGAAAAGAAGTACGTAAATGGAGTGAGTATATTGTGGAAGCTAAGCAACTAGACCTTCACACCTCTGGAGTATCAGAGGTCAGCGAAATCGAAGGTGCTGAGCAAAGCTTCAGAAATTCGTTTGGCGATGTCCTACGGGAATGCGGGAATAAGGATGGTCGTCGATCCCTTTTTTACTAGTGTACCTGAAACTTGCGTCTTGTCTTCGTTTTGAATGGAATCCCCATCGCGTTTTCTAGACTTATTGTTATTGAACTTTGCCTTAAGAGCACAATTTTGAAATAGACTGGGGACCGTTGCGGATATTAGACTTGACTTGAATTACAAATTTTGGATTTCAGAGAAGGTATCTAACGTTTGCTGTACCGTCATGGTTCAGTACTGGCAACATGTTATATATATGGACTGTTGACGGTTGTCTGTCCTCATCAAGCGCTCGACCAATTATGACTCGCCCGATGCGAGAGTTTGTATCCAGTAGGGTATGAAGCACGTACAGAAGCTCCCAAGGTGACAGAACAATGTTCAGAGCAGTGACTCACACAATAGTCCCTATAAAACAAAGGACATCCCATTCGGAAAGAGGCCTCTACACTCGCGGACAACATTACACACATTGTCTTTCATTATGGCGCCAACGACATTTCATCTCTTCCCTCAGCTGCCATACGACATCCGACATGAAGTTTGGAAAGAATATTACAGTCGCCCCATACACTGGGATACGCAACACGTATTCAATCCAGACCTCTGGTTTGAATGGACTCGCATTCAGTTCCGTTTCGACTCTTCTTACCAGCCACAACAGTACTGCGATGACGAGATATGCAAAGAGGCAAGTATTGTGAGAGACATCGTCCGGCCAATCTGTCGAATCCCGCAGTGGTACAAGAATCCTTACTACGAGCTTGCTCGAGTCAACTGGAACACAGACTACGTTTGGTTCACGCCAGCAGAGCCTCTCTTAGGGCTTCGACTAGCATTTACGAAGACTGTATTGCTCAAAGAGACGCCTGATACTACATCTACTTGGCTCAGCAATATACAAACATTGGTTTTATCCTCTGGCCCGCCTACGTCTACTCAGTACCGGCAACTCCCTTTTGACTTGTTGTGGGATCTTCGAACTTGCCTTGAAAGCCTGAGAAAGGTTGTATGGGCAGTCGACCCGAAGTTCACGCCGGGCGATGAAGAGTATACACACCAGCTGCATTTTTATTTTATGCTAAGATCGATGATGCGCAACTACCAGCCGTGGAAAACTGTGGAATGTACGTTTTCGGAAATCTCTTCTTCTTTGATACCCCACCCACAACCCGAATGGAGTGATTACATTCAAGAAGCGAAGGAACTTGAGCTACAATACTTCGACGTATCAGAGACAAGCGAAATCGCAGGTGCCGAGCAAGGTTTTCACCATTGGAAGGACGAGCCGAGCCCTTTTGCTCTTTAGCTTTTACTGTCAACCTTTGGTGCTGACGGATTATTTGACAGTTCTGGCGATGTCGGGGGCACGTTCAATCGGGGATATCTTCTCAATTGGGAAACGCTTCCACCGGAAAGGAGTTCCATGGCTACCTACCTTTGGCGGGATAGGATACAGGAAGAAAATACATGTATAAATAAACAATCATCTCACTTAATCGCTTTGAAATAACCACATATCTCAGCTCTGATTAAGGAAGACCATTGCATACGACACAAGATGGGCAGCACAGAAGCCTCACACACGATCACCGTGACCCTTGGTCAGGTGGCCAAGATGATTGACCACTCACTCCTCCACCCGACCATGACCGATACCGACATCCTGGAGGGTCTTCGCATTGCCAAAAAGTACAATGTCGCCACGGCATGCGTAAAGCCTTACCTTATCCCCCTCGCCAAAAGCGAACTTGAAGGCAGTGACGTGCTGGTCTGCCCGGTCATCGGCTTCCCTCACGGCAACAGCACCACCGAAGTCAAGATCTTTGAAGCCGAAGGCGCCGCTCACGATGGCGGAAAGGAAATCGACATGGTTGTCAACATCGGAAAGGTTCTCGGTGGCGATTGGGACTATGTCGCCGAGGAAATTCGCCAGATCAATGAAGCTGTCGTCGAGCACGGTGCCATTCTCAAAGTCATTTTCGAAAATGACTATCTTCAGGAGAAGCACATCATCCGGCTGTGTGAGATTTGCTCGGACATTGGTGTTGGCTTCGTCAAGACATCAACGGGATACGGCTTTGTGAAGCAGCCCAATGGGCTGTACACATATGCTGGGGCAACAGTGCCGCATCTCAAGCTCATGAGGCAGCATTCGAAGTCGGAGGTACAAGTCAAGGCAGCGGGAGGTGTGCGAACGTTGGATGACCTGCTCCATGTCATGTCTTTGGGTGTCACGCGAATTGGGGCTACTGCCACGATTGCGATCATGGAAGCTGCTGTTGCTAGAGGTATCACGGACAAGCCGAAAACTGTGGAGTTCAAGCCCATCAGCCACGCAGCGTCTGGAGGTTATTAGGAGGACAGAAAGATTTTGCTTCGACCTTTCTCACATGATGTTGTCACCATAGGATTCAAGGTTCCAATACAAGCAGCTGACAAGATCTCCGATTTCACGTAATCCTTTTGTCGTGTTCCTTTGTTCACTGTTGAAAAAATGAGTCCCGTCGATAAAAGACTCTAGGCGAATACATCGACCTACGGGCTGTTCACTACAAGGAATTTGGGGCTTTTCTTTTCAACATAAAATAATGATATCATCTGATGACACTAATGGAATCAGTATCCCCAAAATTGCAGCGGAGCTTGATGAGTTCGCATGAGTTGTGGCTGTCTTACATCGGGATTGATCCGTTCCGGTGGGTAGAATTACCAGAAACGGACTAGCGTCACCCGGAGCGCTCCGGCGGAAGACTCTTCTCCTGAACACCGTGGGAACCTCATCCCTTTCTACATCCGTCAAGGCAATGCCCTGACTGACATTGCAATCCGAAAATCAAAATGGAACCGCATGCTGCGTCAGCAAACCCACCGGCAAGACGCCAACGCAAGAAGGTTTCTGCAGCCTGTCAAAGATGTCGGCGGCAGAAGCTCAAGGTATTTTTTTTGATCTGCTCCTGAACAAGAGAAACAGGCTGACCACATGATTGTTTCAAGTGTGATGTTCAACGGCCCTGCACCCTCTGTGTCAGAGCTGAAGTGGAATGTGTCAATGAGGATACCGATCGGTGGAGAATCCAGGGCCCTCAACTCACCCGGAACCGGCCCCGCAGACCGGACGGAGACAAGGATGACACCGCAAGTCTCCGGCGGACAAAACGCAGTCGGCGAACAGTCACCGGGGAAAATGATACGGCGGAGCCTGCATCACCCGCATCACCTGAAGCGGTCATTATTGCTGCATCGCGGACGGCTTCTTCACCTTTAGAAGATGATGGTCCTCACATCGGAGCAGATTCCCCTGTCCCGCAGGTAACACCGGTGGAGAGGAGTAGGCGATCATGGCCATCGAACTCTGCAGCGATGACTTTCATGGATGAGGTATTGATTTCACTCGGTTCTGTGCTCATGACGGACGCTGACACGTGCTGAAAGGCCTTCCAACGTCAAGATGCGACAACACCGGGAGAGGCCGACACATCTGCGTTTGCTGCGAACCAATGGTCAGCTAGAAGCATTGCCACAAGCTCTTCGCGAGCAGAAAATGGTGTCCCATTGAGAACCAGCCCACATACTCCTGGGCTCTGCCAATCGAGGCTACATCGAAGCAAGAGGTCAAGCGATGCCGAGCGTGCTCTGGTGATGACCTTACCCGAGAAACAGGTTGCAAAGCTGTTGATTGACAATTACTTCGACAAGATCCATTGGTGCTTTCTGATCTTCTTTCAAGACGAATTCAAGGAGCGCTTTGAAAGCCTTTTTAACAGTATTTCTCGCGATGACGGGATTAAAGGAGCAAGCATCAGTTTCGTCAGTCTCGTCCTTGGCGTATGCCTTACTAGCCTACCGTATTTGAGCGATGAGGCACGGTCTGAGCTAGTCCGTTTAGGCGTTGATTCAGCATCACTGCAAGAACAGATACTGTCCATACTGAGACTGAAGCTCCTCGATTATGTCTCTTCCGGGTCAATCGAGGCGGTGCAGACATGTATCCTCTTGGGGTGCTTTCACTTGTACCATGGAGAGCCCGAGTTAGCTTGGCCGATATGCGGCTGTGGCTTGCGAATCGCTCAAGCCCTGAACCTACATCGGGCTGCAGCTGATCAACGATCTGGAGTACCCGACTTTGATGACCCAGTCACCAGGGCTATCGAGACCAAAAGGCGGTGTTGGTGGTCAATCTACGAGACGGAGACTATCTGTTCTATGCTATACGGGTTTCCCTTGAGCGTAGTTGATGAAGATTGTGACGTGGAGTTACCTGATCCATATCCTTTGAGATCGAAGGACCCGTCTTGGAAATCCAACGAATGGAAAGCAGCAGGCAAAGCGACGCTCTTATCATTCAAACGAGCCATGGCTGAACTGACGATAATTGTCAAATCTGCTCTTTCTCGCCTTTATGGAACACAACGAAGACTGCTAGAGAAAGACCAGATGGATAACGCCAGCGGATCTGACTTGCAGCTTTTGATCAGTACGATTGCCGAACTGGATGGCAGGCTTAAGACATGGCGGGACCATCTTCCTATGGAACTTCTATTGGGCGGCGCAATTTCCAAGTCTCAAACAGAGAGCCTCGCTGGCGGGATACCAGAAAGCTTAAGAAGTAGCTTTCCTAGCCAAACCAAACGACTCCAACTGTTTGGAGTCCAATCGCTTTCTCTCAAACTCGCTTTTGAGAACGCGAGAATTCTGGTGCATCGACCTCTTCTTTCCTACAAGACGATGGCTATCGCGGGACATTCTCGTAATGCTCAGCCTCTCCGCTCAGCTGTTCAAGCATGCCGCGACGCCGCTTTGCAGATAGCTCAGGTTGGGTCCACTTCGGAATTCAACGAGGTCGCTGGTACATATGCTGTATCATTCTTGGCTTTACATCTCTTCACAGCCGGGGTAGCTCTATCGATACTAACCAGCCTCGAACCGCTGAGTCGAGAGTCTTTCGAGTCAAAGATGGGCCTTCGGCAACTGGTTTCCATGCACTCTCAACTGAAGGCCAAATCTATCGTCGCCGAGCAAGGTTTCGAAATCCTCAAGAGGCTGATGACCCTTGTAATGTCAAAGGAAACCGAAAGGATGCTTCAATTTGAGCCAGCAGATGCAGAACCCGGACGCAACTCAGATTCGACTCAGCGGACATCTGAATCCATTGAAGTAGCAACCCAGAGTAATTCTGCCACACGCGCTGGAGAGAGCCTCCCCTCTACAGATTTCCAGGGGACATCTCAGGACGATTTAATGAGTGATTCAAGACCCGACATTCCGGAAGACTCAGCACAAATGGCTCGTTCAGATCTTGGATTCTGCGAAGACCCTCTGGTGACTCAAGCTCTTCTTGATTTTGAACAAGGTAAGTACATACGCATTTTTTTAGCGTGCATTCGCTAACATACTCCACAGCCATGAGCTACGATCCGAATGGCGTACTTGGAGGTGGGCTAGCAGAATTTGGTGATCCGTTCGTAGAGAGTTGTTTCGGTGCACATGATCAAGGCTGGATCTGGAACCCAAGAAATTGAGTCTCCAGCCCATGGCACGTCCGCTTGCCCCGACATTAAAGCATGCCTCCAACTGGATTCTCGTCAGGTAGCATTTTAGTCTATAAATATTCCGATGTACTTAGAACTTAGCCAGACAGAGAGCGAAAAACATCCGCCATTACTTCAGGAGCAAATGCAAAATCCCTCTCCACTTTCTCATTCAGCCCCCAAGCCTCGGCGCTGCTGTCTAACACAGTCGCCCTTCGCATGTCCCGTTTATGGTTGCCAACAACTGGCGTGCCCCTGTGTAGTGTGCAGGTGTTATCCCACATCACCAGATCCCCTACTTCCGCCCATGGAATAGACACTACGTACTTCTCCTGCGTGACATGCTTGTACAAGAAATCCAATGTCTCTCTCGCCTCGTCCTCGGACAGACCATCAATATGGTGACAGTGCGACGGAACGAAGAGGTTCATTCGTCCGCTGGGTTCGTGCAGTTGGACAATTTTATGCTTGCTCATGGGGTGGTTCCCCGGCGTGAGCTTAGCGAAGAACTCGGGGCACGCTGTCTTACGCGAGTGCCAAAAGGAGTGGTTCGCAATATAGTTCTTCCTGAGAAGCTCTTCCTTCCAGGACTCCGGAAGGTCGTCCCAGGCAGTTCGTGTATCGGCATAGTCGGTGTTGCCACCGGCTCCTTTGGGTGGGATCTCATGTGCCAAAAGAATAGAATAGCTTGCTCGATGGGCATTGAAGCTGCTGTCGACGTGGAACAATGTATTTCCCTGCGCGTGTCATAAGCAAAGCATCCATCTGGAAGCAGACGAGCTTGAACAGATTCATTTCTTACCTTGCTGATTTGCGCTCTGGGATCTGCTGAGCCGATGATGTTGCCACTGGCGTCAATATTACCTTGGTCAGTCAACTCGGGCATCTTCAGCCGGGACTGAGCTCCAGTGTCCTTTCGCCGCTCAAGCTCGCCAAAGTGTTCAGCGAACGCGACGTGCCTTTCGTCGTCCAATCCTGTTGCCGGGAATACCAAGACACCATACTGTCCACGGAGTTTCAGCGAAATACCTCTCGAGACTGAGCAAAGTTCTAAGTCACCTTTGCAATTGCAGCCTTTATCGCCTCCAATGTTTCGACTGGAATCGACTTTGAGAAGTCTACACCCAACACCTTTGCCGCGAATGTAGGATGAAGAGGCTCAATCGTGAGAGACATGATGACTTGGCGATCTGTAGCTACAGAAGAATATCGATAGCTTGGGGGAAAGTTCAGACGAAGTTCATAGAGTTCACTTGGCACGAACGGGACCCCTGATCTACCCCAGGCTTTTCACCGCCTACAAGCGTCATCGTCGCCGGGTTCTCGTCACGTTTCGATATCGCTCATCTGTAGGACCCACGCCCATTTATTAGAGTTTCGCCTTATCTCAACTGCCACCGTTCCACGAGTCATTCCCAGTCACGTCCGCACCCAATGCGTCGGATGTCTCCATGACAAGCTTCTGACCGACAGGGCAACCCCTGGCTGAAGAAATGTCGTTTTTCGGACCAGTTGAGAAGCCGCAATTTCTTGTCAACGTCAGAATATTACTTGACTCCTCTCTCGTGCACAGCAATAGTCAAAACCACGCCAGTCGACGCGACGTCAGAGCCTCTGGTGGTAGTTGCAGCCAAGTTGTCGAGATGGGAGTGCGATCTTTGCTCAACCCAGTGTTGGGCTCGGAGCGTCGGCAGCCGGACCGCGCTCCGACGGACACGGTATTCCAGCTGTCGGCGATGGATAGCTCGTGGATGATGCGTATGATGATCATGAGCTGGTCGATGTGTTTTCACGATGTCCTTGACGCTGATAAGCTTCACGATTCGCTTACCGAGCTTTTGAACATCGGACATTGGAAGAAACTTGGTGGTCGGCCTCGGTTGACGGTAGGTTTCTAGTCTCCCAGTTCAACCAGACTCCTCCTACGAAACGCTGACACACGTTCAGAAGGATGGCAAAATTGAGCTTCACATTCCGGACGTTTTCACTCCATCTCGCCCAGCAGTTCACTTTACTACCGAGCCAAACCCTGCAAGCGTAAAGCTTCACCCACTCTCTTCTACTATCCCCTCGTACTTCCCGCAGACAACGGCAGGGCCGAGGATCATCGACACTCCCGAGAATTTGCATTCCATTCTTGCCGGCCCTGAAGCAGCCAAGTCATTCGACGACTACAACTTCACAGACCGGCCTGCCTTTTCACTCCACATCATCACATTCACTGATGCAACGTTTGTGACGATCACCTACCCTCACAGCATTACGGACGGCATGGGTCGACGCGAACTTGTCGAGAATTGGTGTCGCATCTTGGCCGGTCGTAGATCTAACGTTACACCAATGGCTTTCCCGACCTTAGATCCCATGGCTAAAGTTGCGAAAGCATCTCCTCCACGCTACGATGAACCTTTCACATGGGAGCACAAGCGCCTTCAAGGCTGGGGGGTGGTCCGGTTCACCTTTGGTATTCTGTGGTATTTGGTCAGGAATCGTATCCGCCAGAGGAATCTCTTTATCCCAGCTGCTTATTTGGCAGAGCTGCGTAAGCGTGCCGAAGAGGATCTTGAGAAGGACGGACAGGCAACGGAGCGTTTGAGTGATGGGGATATCCTGACAGCATGGCTGTCGCGTCTCGCATGCTCCCACATAAGCGAAAAGGGTACCTCAAAGCCCATCTCTATTTCTACAGCCCTGGATCTCCGAGGCCGTCTTCATGAAAACGATATGTCTCCAAACTTCGCTTACGTCTCGAATATTGTTGCATACAACTGGACCAATACGAACGCCCTCGAGCTCCTTCGCGGAACATTCGGCAGGGCTGTGGCACTAGTTCGGAACTCAGTGAGGTCGCAGCTCACAGATGCACAAGTTTATGCCTCGACTCGTCTCACTTACAACGCCGTTGCAGAGAGTGGCAGCACAAAGCAGTTTACTGAGCCAAACGGCTTTGTGGTCTCCGTGTCTAATGTGTCCAAGGCGAGATTCCATGAAGTCATTGACTTCAGTCCAGCTATCAAAGACGGTGGCAGTGATGAGATTCGGACAACACCGAGAGGCAAGATCGTGTGGCAGTGCAACACCCCGAAGATGAAGATGCACCCACCGTGTCTGATCTACATACAGGGCAAGGACCATGGTGGCAACTATCTCGCACAGATGTTGGTCTCTGAAAAGACCTGGCGCCTGATCGAGAAGGAAATAGAATTCTCAGTCTGAATTCAGATCTTAATAATGAAAGCGCTCTCTCTGTGTAGCAAATCGAACAACTATACTACATGCCCCTTGACTTGCTTCAGAGTCTTCACATTAATATCCCGCCAAGCAAAAGTCGCCACAAAGCCTACCACCCAGATGGCAGTAGCGGCAAGCAACATCATTTTTTGAGCTTCACCATACGCCAACTGGAGGGCTTTACGAGTAGCAGAGCCTACTGGGTACATCAATTGCGTGGCGAGGTCCGAGTAGATTGGCAGGAAATTGGCCAGCTCTTCTGTCGGCAGATTCTCCATCAACTTCTTAGCGAACACATCCTGCCAGATTGCAGCAGATACAGTCAGGCCAATGGCTCCGCCAATCTCAGCGAACATGGCTTCAGTGGCCAGTACGACAGCCACATGCTGGTGTGAAGCGGCCGCCATCGCAGCCAGCCCTGCTGTGATGATGATGGTACCACCCGCAATGGCGATGAGTATCTGACATAAGATGATGAAGCCGATGTTTTGATCAGGCTGACGGAAGTAAATCATGAGACCCATACCGAAGATGTGTAACGGAATGGCGAACCAAAGGGTGATGATCTTGAAGCGGCCGGTTCGGTGTACTATCCACCCTACGACAAGCCCCCAAAGTGTGTTGCCGATAGTGTAGATGTTGTAGACGTAACTGGCTTTGGTGACATTGAGATCATTGACAACCATAAGGAAGGAACTGAAGAAGCTGTTCCAGATGAAGTAACTAATGAACAAAACGGCTGAGAGCCCACACGCACCGATGACGGTTCGATCCAATAGTAGAGAATAGGGGATAAATGTGATGGGGGCAAATGTTCTCTCCCATATGACAAATGATATGAGAAGAACAACACCAAAGACCAATAGGCAGATGATGAGTGGAGATCGCCATCCTTCGTCTTGCATGGAGTAAATGTTGAAGGGCAGAAGGAACAATGCCAAGCCAGCTGACATTAGGAAAAGTCCTACGGCATCAAATTCTCGGCAGTAATAGGATAATGATTCCAACGTAGTCCGCTGACTGGTGTGCTTGGAGATTATTCCCAGTCTCTTGGCTTTGGTGAGATTGTATGCAAAGAGTCCGAATAGGGGGAGCGTGAAGAGAGGTACGACAATCGAGAAAATGCCAAACGCCCATCGCCACCCTGGTCCTGTGAGGTAGGCTTGGGAAATCGGGCCAGAGAGCCATGTGGTGATGAGGTTTGGCGAAGAAGTGAAAGCCAGCATAAGCCCCCTATTTCGCAAGGATGAAGTGTCTGCAACAAAGATAGAAATGCTGTACAGCAGTGCGTTCTGGCCAACTGTGTAAAAGACTTGAGCAGCTGCATAAGTCTCCACACTGTTGCAGGCAGCCATCATCACCAGTCCGAGGGTGGCTATGAAGATGGATAGGAGGTAGCCCTGCGGTCGTCCGAAAACATCTAGGATCTTGGCGAGGGTAAGCTTGACGACTCCGCCGATGATGCCACTGATGACGGCGACGGTTGGCGTCAAGGAGTGCTGTTTAAAGGCGGATGTAACGAAAGGTGTAAGGGCGGTTAGGGCACCCTGCTGCATGAGCATGACGAAGTAGATGACCCAGATCATCACATAAGCGATGACCAAGGAGGATGTCGTCCATGTCGAAGTTACAGCTTCTATGTTCTGCACACCGGTCTGAGCCTCAGGCTGGTCGGTGTCAGACCCCGAAGAAGCGTCATTGACGTGAGCTGTTGTGCTGATACGTGTGTCGGTCTTGTCGGTTGTTGTGCTTGGGGGCGACAGCGATGGCACACCCTGTGGGTCCTTTCCTTGATCCATGCTGGCAAAAGTTCTAACGATCAGAAGGATGGCGAAGATGAGGTGAACGGGGCAGAAACAGGATCATTATGAATGTCTTCGTCGAATCTCAGTAAAAACGCCTTCAGCGACTCTGCCCTCGTTTCTGCAATCCTATTGTTGATTTGCTCAAACCTGCTCACCGATGCGTGCTGACGCTTACGATATTTCGGCAGGATCCAAAGTGTGGTGTGAACGAAGGTTGCCGAGCAGGGATGAAGATGACGGGACCTGATCCACAACATGGAAAATGTGGTTCAGGACCGAACCGCTGCAATGGGGTCAGCACGGGTTCGTCCCGGTTAGTCCGGCCGTCGGCACGGCGTCGGGGAGTGAGCCAGGATTCTGCATTACCCCAATCGGCGAACACGCAGGCTTCAACCACAAATTCCCTGAGAAAATGTAAGATTTTGATCCACAACATGCGCCAAGGGCTTCGGAGCAGAGAATGCTACAATCCTATCAGGTAGGCTGTAATGCTTACAGCCTCAAATTTGCTCAACACAGCAGCGCTATTGATGATTTTGGATAACAGCATGTGCAACAATGTGGCAAACGAAGCATGCTTCATAATGTCATGGCGGCCTGCATGGGCACATCACATAAAATCTGGCCAAGAAACATCCCACGATCAGATCACGTATCGAGGTAAGGCTGAAAGCGACTACCTAGTACTTTGAAGGGCAATATGACCCATAGTTCGACGTAGCGGAAAGGATCTATTGTCTAGGGCTTGTACAAGGTATTCACTGCTACCAAAGATTCCACAAAACACCCAACTTGTGAACAACCCGCGCAAGAAGTATCTCAGTCTATTGTGACGCAAGGTACCTTTTTCATGGTCTAATGTAACGTGATTCTATGTGACCCCAATGGACGAAACAAGTATCTCAACCGCCTCAGTGACTAACCAAGAAAAGCGGCGTACTTGGTAAACTCTTCGTCAGCTGTCAACGTTTCGAACTCTTCGGGGAGCGTGCCCAGCAATAGCTCCACAGAACCATCATCACGCATAGGGAGGATAAGCAGCAGCCTGAAAGCCGTGTTGAACCGGTCCATCAGAATCCTCATGGTGTCAGGTGTGCCCTGGTTTTCAAAGAACTCATCGCCGAACGAGATTTCGGTCGTCTGGAAGAGCATCAGGTTGTTCATCATGCAGTGCATCCCCGCCAACCCCATGCAAGCGTTGGTAAGCATGCCGTAGTCGGGCACAGACTGGAGAAGAGTGAAGGCGTCATGAACCAGGGAAGGATTGATGCGAGTGGCTGCCTCGCGGAAGAGGTAAGCAATGCGTCCCAGGCTCGTCTTTGGTGAGCAAAGCTCTTCGACCGCCATGTAGGGTCGGTTGGTAACCAAGCAGCTGCCCATGAATGATGAGGGCAACAGAGAAGAAAAATAGGGGCGAGCATCGATGGGCATCTCCACAATCGCGTTGTCTTCTGGCCCAAATTCTTCGCCATGTATCTCCTTGGCAACGCGGTAGCGAGCTCTAATTGCAGCCCGCCAGAAGAAAGCCTGGATAACGTCGCTGATGGATGTCACAGCCCCCTTGGCCTCCGGGTCAGCAAGCACCATCTGTCGAAGCCTCTCCACATTTTCGCTCGAAACGAGAAACGTGGTGGGCTTCATATGGCGACCGTCAGCCGGAGGAACGGGTGGCCAGGCAAACTTGCGGGGGAATGGGGGTGGTGTGGGGAATGTCGACTCCGTGAGACGCGTTTCCACCTTCACCGGACCATTGCCGTTCTGAAGCTCTGAAGGATCTGGGAATCCTAAGAATCCCCAGACGTTAGGGTCCACCTCGTGTGCAGGCTTGGCATACCCTTCGAGTTCGTAGAGGATGTGAGGCAGGCTCCTGTTGAGGCTCTCAGGATCAAGCCAGTCGCAAGTGGCTGACATGTCACCCTGAACATATCTGCAGCTCTCGGCCCAGACTCTTAGGGCTGTGATAGCTCCCATCCCATCAACTGCCGCGTGGTGGATGTTAATGGCGAGAATACACCCACCCTTGATGAAGTTTGCCTGCGCAACAAGAACCTCAGCCGGGAGCGTCGGAAACCAGGGGCAGTCGATGACGACTTCGTCGCTGAAGGCCGAGGCTACAAAGCCGGCAGATCTTAATTCTTCAAAAGAAGGAAGCATATTGGAGAGATCCTTGTAGCGCAGTTGCCTGAGCGGAGAGTTCTTGAAGTTGGTTTCAGGGGTCGCGGTTGACGGAATCAGGGGCAAAGTGATCCGAAGATCACCATTTTTGTACCCCGTCTCATGCGGCGAGCAGCGCATGACCTTGCCTTCAAGTTCTGGAATGAGTTCAATAGTCCTGCGAAGCCCATCGTGCAGCCTGTTGAATACGTCCTCGTACTGTGCGTCTCCGCGCAGCGGTATGTAGAACTTCATGCCCACGTAGATGTTGGGGTTCATCAAGTCAAACGGGTTGACTTTGGGCGATAGGCGTGACTTGTGGGCGTCCATCATCTTCCTCATTTTGACCACAGTAGGGTCTAAATCCTCGTCTGATGCGGAGGCATTCTTGCCCGTTGGATGCTTTTTCTCAGCCACCAACTTCGAGATCGTGGCAGCAAATTTGCCGAGCGTGGGGCTAGCATATAGATGCCGAGGCGATAGCTTGTCTTGTAGCCCAGTAGCTGCACGGATGATCTTGACGGCTCGGAATACAAGGAGCGAGTCTAGGCCCAAGCTAAAAACATCTGCATCGGGCGACGCGTTGTTAAGAGCTGGCGAAAGAGAGCCAAAGATCTGCCTGATCGCTTGGGTGATAGACTCGACAGAGCTTACGTCGATGGCAGTGAACTGCGAATCTTGTTCTTCCAAGCGGGAATCATAGAAGCGCTTGATATAGTCGGCGTAGAGCTCTAGCGTAGCACGTCGCTTGATGGTTCGTTTGTCGGTGCGAATGAACGGCTTGTCTGGTTCAGCGAAGGTGATGTAGTCTCTCTGAAGCTGGTTCTTGTGCATAGAGAGTGAGTTGGCTCGCTCTACAATAGCCCAGATGCTGTCCAGAAGTTCGGTCGTCTTTGAATATGGATCCTTCAGCTCGATTAGAAGACCTGCCTGAGGTTTACTTGAACCGATCTGCGACAGTGTCAGACATGAATCCTACGTGCTGACGACAACCGACGATTTAAGGCAAAGCTTGCTTACCATGATACAGCCTTCAACAGCAGGGTGGGTCGTGACCAGTGCCTCCGTGTCTAAGGGAGAAATCTTGTAACCATTAGAGAGAACGACAACATCGTCATTTCTCCCCTTGTACGCCCAGAGCTTTGGCTTGGTCGGATGCTGCGTGTACAGATCCTTCAGATTGATACTCTTCTGGTCGGGAAATGTGTGGAAGATCCCCTGAAATAAGGGGCCATGTTCGTTCCGATGGACCCAATGCTCAAAGACGCCGGGTTCGACTTCCTTGAATTCAAAGCCCGAGAAGGGATGGAATGCAAAGTAGAGCCAATCTTCTCTGTCTACCCAGAGATTCCCAATGAAGAGACCTTCTGTTGTGCCCGTGAGGTTCAGGACTCGGATGACGTTGTTCACTTTGGACGCGCTGACGGGACTGACAGGACCTGAGACATGACTGCGTCAGCTTACAATCGTCTACTTGAAGGATTTATTATCATGTACTCACCACCGGATGCACAGATGAACTTGGAAGACCGAAGCTTGGGCAAGACGTCTGGGGTTTCTCCAAGCTCGTCCACCAGCGAGGGAACCATGCTCCAGATATCGATCTTTGCGTGCTCTCCGAGAGATTCTATGAGGTTCATGTTGGGTATGACACCGGGCGGTCCCAAGATGCAGTGAAGATTGAAGAGCGAGGGCAAGAGAATATCCATGATGATACCGGCTCCCTGGGTTTGGTAAGCACGAGGATACTATTGACTCTGAGGGGAAGTACTAACATGACTCATGGGAAATGAGGAGTAGATCCTGTCACCATCGTTCCAGTTATCTGTCCATGGGACCATACCGCCGTCTCCTTCTGTTGGTGGTAGGAGCCGGACGGCATCCATTGTTCCGATCAGGGCGTGAGACCAGACAATGGGCTTTGGCAACCCCGTTGAACCCGACGTGTGGAGGAGGCAGAAAGGCTCTTGGCTCGCCTCGTCGAAAGTCTTGTAGAAGGGGTATGGCTCAGCACCATCCGCATCAAGCAGTTCATCAAGCTCAGGCAAGTCGAGGACCTGCATGTCCCGCTGTTGCAGAAGGTCATCAACAAGAGGGTAGTCCAGGCCACGAGGCTTCACCCAGATATTGCATTTGGCCGCTTGCAAGACAGCAAGAGCCCCTTCGGTACTGTTCTTGGCGGACAGGAACAAGGCCTGGTCACCCCCAACGGTGTTAGGTAAGTTACTTGACAATATTCATGCGCAAAGTCTAACTTACGGTGCAGTTGGCCTTGACACAGGCATATGTCAACAGAATGTGGCGGAGGTCATCTGACAGGCATTAGCCAAAAGCAACACGGTTCTGGGAGATCAGCGCTTACGAGGTCCGATGTAACCAACGGGTTGGATCTCTCCGGTGTTTCCAACTTGTTTGTGAAGCCACCAAGCCGTCTTGTTAACAGCTTGGGCAAATTGATAAGCATACACGTTGTGAAAGCCTTGACTGATGTCGGAAGACTTTGCTATGGAAAAGACGAGACGATTTGGCTCAGTTGCAGCCAAATCATCAAGAATTTGAGGGATAAGCCTCTTGCCAACGTTCTTGGGAATTTCCATTGTGGTCAAAGATAAAGAGATGAAGTTGAAATGGCAAAGACCCGACTTGGTTCGAAGAGTATCTTGAAGAGCTAACTCATCCAGATGGATACGGGGGAGAGTGAATGATATGGGAATTGCTTGGAAATGATATTATTCAACTACTCCCAAACCAATATCCGCCAGGACGGCTACTGGAATCCCGGAAGGCGAGTGAGGCTACACAAAGTCCGTGTCAACACCGCCTCCGCCTATCTCCATGGTTCCTCATCCATGACGCATAGTCAGCTTACCTCGTTCGACGTACAGAAATGTCTCCAACCCTTCACCGTTCATTTCTAATCGCACATCACTGCTCCGGATGCGAGCGGACCAAAGGGTGGACTTGTGCCAGTTCTTCCGTCCACACAACAGCTGGGCAGAGGCACAACAGCTTGGAAATCCCGCCGGCAAAGCCCGTGTAAGCTGACATAATGTTCGTCTCATCTCAGAATTCGCATGCCGAACGCAGCATTAGAAGCATCGTACAGCCAGAATGGGCCCTAAAAGTGGAGTCGTCGTCCTTGGAAGTGCAACAAGATCAGACTTTTGAGCCGCAGGCGGGCTGACGCCCAAGTCGGTTTGTGCCGCGTCCACATGAGGCACCGGCTTGGCGGAGTCGGGAATCTCACCATGCCCCCACGGCCAACTTTCGCTCATGTCCAGTGGTAGGCACACCATAGTGATGGCGTATGGGAGGCGCAGACTGTTCCGTATGCAGCCTTGATCCTGTCTTACTGATCATGAACATTCGATGTAGTTGCCTAAGGTGGCAATGGTGAAACGCGCCTTCTAAGGCTGCTTGTGTGTTTGGCTATGTTTTGGGATGGCATTCTCGGGTATCTGGAAACTGCAGCATCTATCCGAGGGCTCTTCAACTCCACGTGGATCTGTATATCTAGCAAGCCCTGCTCTTAGTCGAGATCCAATTCAGAAGATACCGACAGGCCAGACAGCAATTCATCTCGAGCAAACCCTTTCTCTTCTTTACCAAGTTCTTTATCATCTGCTTTCATCATGCACCTCCTTGGTAGCATCCAGAGCCCCATCACCAGGTCCACCCTGGATGAGTCCAAGCTCCCCCGTGCCCCTCAGGCTGGGTTGGAAGTGACCGAAGAGATGACCGAGACTTCCAAGAAAATCTTGTCCATCATCTTTGAGTACGCCCTCAACAAGTTTGATGACACGATGGACCGACTCACCGCCGGTGTTCCCAAGTTTGTCAGAGTCATTGAGCAGTTTGTTGCGGCTGGCAAGCAAGTAGACATGTGTCTCCCAGCGTTTCCCTTCAAGTCGGCAAACAAGGTCTACAAGGTCCTCGGTAATCTTCCCGATAAAGCCGAAGAGCTGGCTCTTGATCGCTTGAACACTATGTGCATCCGCATTGGTGAAATCTACGCCCCAGGAGCTAAGCTGACTATCATCTCTGACGGCCTCGTCTACAATGGTCAGTGAACTCTATCAATAATCTTCGCCGTCAGCTTTTAAACTGATATGATTTGATGACAGATTTGCTAAGCATTCCGGATCGCGATACGTGGGCTTACGGCGAAGCTCTGCGGGCCATGGCGGCCGAAAAGGGGTTCACCTACATCGGCTTCTCCAGGCTTCGGGACCTGATGAACTTCCCAATGCCCGACAGGCTCGAGGAGATCCGCTACGTTGCCAACGCCACCAACTTCCGCCGCTATCTCCTGAACAAGTACGGCAAGGACGACCTCGACATCGACCAAGAAATCGCAAAGAACCCCGACACGCTGATGACCTATCGCGGGTATTGCCGATTCTTGGAATCTGACCTGCAGCATGTGTTCCCCACCGGCAAGGGCCGAACCAGTAACGGCTACAAGCGGGACGTGAAGTTCCTGGCCAAGCAAATGCTGATCCGAGGATATGTAAGCACACTTCTTTATCTCCTGCAGAAAGTGGCTGGACTGGGCCATTGACCCATCATAGGCTTTCGCTGGCGCGGTCAAGGATGCTTTCCCCAATTACCTGCGTCTCTCCATCCACCAGTCCACCGGTGAGCACAAGGTCTCCATGAGCTTGCTCAACACCAAGACGGGGTTCACGACCCCGTGGCATTGCAGTGTTGCATTGATGGCGGATGGCGAGTGGACGAGTGCTCCAATGGGCGACTTCAAGAAGGACGAGAACATGGAGATTGTTTATGAGGATGGCCGTCCAAGTTACTTCAAGGAGAAGGCGCAAGTAGTTTGATCCTTCGGTAAACACTCCTGAATAGCGCCGAGATCGTTACTATGGTATGATAGAAGGGGAAGATACCGGCTTCACTGTCTGTTTGAAAGATTGCTTATTATTAGACAGCTTCACAGCTCTATTACAAGGACCAATAGAATTGCAAGATCCAGCAGTTTCTTATTCCAAGTTTCCCGGTGTTCCTCCCCTGTTGCTTGCTAGTAATACTAGGTATGCGTCGTCAACGTGGCTTCATTCCTATGTGCCTTGATCGTTGTTGTTCTCTTTGATTTTGATGACTGATTTTTACCACAAGTAGTTCATAATTCGTAACTCTCCTAATGGAGTCGTAACTTTCGAATCCACACCACGTACCTACAACGTTGCACAAAGTCCTCGGAGATGTCTTCTTGATCTAGCCCCCCGAGTCCGAAAACAGACGCGTCTACGCTAGGAAGGCATATTGGCCACAGGATCGGCCTTCCGCCGTTTGTATTAACGCATTCCGGTCTAGAGCTAGCCGTGATCCACCACAGAACGGTACTAGGGGAACCCATTGCCGATACCCCGATTCCGAACCGATCATTTTACCCCTACTACCTACTTTTCGGGTTTGCAGAGAAGCATCGCAAGTGGACAACAGGCCCCGCCGCCGTCGAATTTTGCCCTCTCTGATGTCGGGATATCGTGGGAAATTACCTACTTTTTCATTCTGCAAGAGGTTTATGCCCTTTTCACACAGTTGATGCGAGTCCGAGATTCCACCTCGAAGCTCACGTTGCATCAGATAAGTCTTCAGGCATCCATCTCCATGTCAGCCGCGCACCCGATCGACGTGACAAAGTCCCCCAGGCTGGGACTTGGCATGCCCAACACAGGCGGGGTGCGATGAGCTCGGACTTTTCAAGGATGAACGGAGGAAGGAGATGGTCTAGACTATCGAAAGACGTTGTTGGGGTTCCTCGAAGGGGAAAAGGCGGCTGAAGACTGTAGCTGAAATCTGAGAAAATCTTTGGCGATCCCCTCGAAATCGGAGCTGCGTCCGGAAACACCGAGCTTCCACATTGGTTAGATTTCAGCCTCTGTGGGGGAGTTCTCTCTAGCTCGCTGAGGAAACCTGATTTTTCCTCGCCCTCGAGCATTTTCCCCGATAAGTGGGCAGCATTTCTTTTTGTTCCTTTGAAGTTGACCCGCCTTGAGGAATTAGCTGGTGTCTTGGCTCGGCATTGCGCGAGACATCACACACCGACTGGCTGCAACTGGCAAGACCCCTGAATCGGCTGTCCTTAGTCAGAAAGTCAATCCTCCAGCAGAGGACTGTCATTGGCCAAGGCCCCGATATCATGTCCGAGAGAATGCTTATGTAAGGTTCGATATGACGCCAAGCGGGAGGGAGCCAATGGGTGGCTCGGTTTACCATGTGGATCTCCGTCGGCGGGTCCAGACCCACACCTTACGCGAGCCTACTATCGAAACGGGGCTAGCGTATCCCCTGTCATCATCTCGACTCTTTTCCTTTTTCCGCCTGCCAAACGTCCACCCGCCTGTCATCGCGCATCAATCACTTCAGGTCGTCCGAACGTATCCAGTAGCGATCAGACGTGGACGCCTATTGTCCTCCCGCCCTCCTCGGTGCTAGCCGACATCAGTGACCGTAGCGAACGGCCCACGCCATTCGGATTGTGGGTTTTGACACGCCTCGAGGCCGACAAAGGCGGCCGCAACCTGCAACGGCCAGCCACCGTCAATGATCCAATTCGACCACCCTCCACGCTAACAGCTGCAAGGACGCGGGGGTCCTCTGCCGATTTTAACGAGGCGAATGCGCCCGCCAAATTTCCGTTCGTCTGACAGCATCCGTTAGCATCTACCGGGCCGCGACGTTGACGACATCGACATCAGCGGACATATCAATCCGACTGCGCCGCCGCGTTGGTACCTGCTGGGCAGACTCTTCCACGAGAGACATGTTGTGGGAGCACCGCCGCGATGAACGTTGTAAGACACCCGGATGCACGATCCCCCCGGCCCGGCTTCCGACTGACCGAAAACAGCCCTCCGTCGATGGCTCATCCGGTGATGGCCGAGTGGGATCCGCCCGGGACAACTCCACGGGCGGAACCCTCAGCAAACTCCAGATTGACGGCTCTGACTCGTCATCGTTGATGTCGCTTGTCAGCACTCTCGTGCCCGTTCTCATCTACGCTGTCGTCTGTTTCCTCGTCTTCTGGATTCTGCGACGCAGAAGTCATCGCGTCTACTCCCCGCGGACCATTCTAAGGAGTCTCTTCTCGCAGTACGAACCCTTTTTCGCTCTATGTTGACATCACAACTGACATGTTCGTAGTGAACAAAGCATACCCCTGCCCAAGGGTTGGTTGGACTGGGTCAAACCCTTCTGGAGGGAACCCGACACCGCCATCCTGAATCGATCAACGCTGGATGCGTTCCTGTTCCTGCGCTACCTCAAGGTTCTCGCTTTGATATGCTTCGTTGGCTGCTGCATCACATGGCCAACGTTGATGTCCATTCATGCCAGCGGAGGTGGTGGTCTCACGCAGCTGGATCGCATCACAATCGGTAACATCAAAAACTCGCACATATTCTTCGCACATGCTATCATCGCATGGATCTTCTTCGGTCAGTTGCAAGACGCTACTAAGTGCGATCGTATCCTAACACCTGCACCAGGATTTATTCTATTTACCATCTATCGCGAGTGCATATACTACATCAACCTCCGTCATGCCTATCTATTATCACCATACTATTCCAAAAGGCTGTCATCCAGGACAGTCTTGTTCAGCTGCGTGCCCCCGAAGTACATGGACGCTGCTCGCCTTCGAAAAGTCTTTGGCGACACTGTCAAGAATGTCTGGATTCCTCGAGATACCAGCGACCTGGAGAGACTTGTCAAGGAGCGGGACGAAACGGCTGCACGGTTGGAAAAGGCAGAGATCCGCCTGATCAAGATGGCGAACCAGCGTCGCAACAAACAACTGAAAGCTGCAGGGGTCACAGCTCCTGAGACCGTGTCAAGTCCGACTTCGAGTTCCCGATCGGAAGAATCTGCCGATGCCGAGAAGGGCTACCCGTACCACGAGAATACTGTCTTGCCAGATGTGAATGGCTCAGTTGCGGCACAATGGATCGGCGCTGACGAGCGTCCCTACCACCGACCGTTGGCAAACTTCTTCCGTCGCGTCGATACCATTAAGTGGACTCGGAACCGCATCAAGGCTTTGACGAAGCAGATCAACAAGCTTCGTCGCGGGTTCCTCAAAGGCGAAGGTCGACGACTGCCTGCCGCCTTCGTCGAGTTCTCTTCCCAAGCTGACGCCGAACGTGCCTGCCAGACTCTCGCACATAATCGACCACTGCACATGTCACCACGTCATATCGGCATGAAGCCCGACGAGATTGTTTGGAGCTCACTGAGGATGCAGTGGTTCGAGCGCATCGTTCGAGGGTTCCTGATGCGAACAGCCATCGCTACCGCTATCATATTCTGGTCCGTTCCTTCAGCGTTCGTCGGTGTGATCTCGAATATCAAGTTCCTCGCCGAAACTTTCCCGTTTTTATCATGGATTGTACAATTGCCCGATGCAGTCACCGGCATCATCAGCGGTCTCCTGCCTGCCTTGGCGCTGTCTTTCCTCATGGCGATTGTCCCATGGATCCTGAGAGGTGAGCCCACCCCATTCAACTGCCTCGTATCTGCCTTCTTGCTAATCAATTTTCGTACAGGATGCGCTAGACTCGCTGGAGTTCCATCTCTATCACTGATCGAGCTCTTCGTTCAACATGCCTACTTCGCCTTTCAAGTCGTGCAGGTGTTCCTCGTCACGACGCTTACATCGGCGGCTTCGGCTGCATTCACTCAAGTTCTCAAGGATCCCCTCTCAGCCAAGGACCTTCTTGCCGAGAACCTACCAAAAGCCTCCAACTTTTACATCTCATACATCCTCATCCAATGCTTGGCGGTGGGAGCTGCCTCTCTCGTCAGGGCTTTTGACGTTGTCCGCCATCATCTTCTTGCCAAAAGCTTCGACAACCCTCGTGGTCTCTTCAGGATATGGCACAGAGATCGCCCAATCCACTGGGGAGCAGTTTTCCCCGTCTTCACGAATATGGGTGTCATTGGTAAGCTGACCATTCCATGACTTGCGCTGGAGTATGCTAACCTCTCGTAGCTATCAGTTATTCCTGTATCGCACCCGTCGTCCTGGGCTTTGCGACTGCTGGATTTTCCTGCATTTACCTTGTTTACAAGTACAACCTAATGTACGTCAGCAATGCGTCCATTGACACGCGAGGCTTGGTCTACCCTCGCGCGCTCATGCACTTGCTGGTTGGCCTGTATCTGGCCACGATATGCCTCGTCGGTCTGTTTGTTTTGCGCGAGGCATATATACCCATGGTACTCATGGTCGCCTTCCTCGTCTTCACCGCGCTAGTGCACATCTCCCTCCGCGAGGCCGTATCGCCATTGCTGTATAACATTCCGCGGGCGCTGGCACTTGAGATGGAAGAGCTCGACGGTGGACCTATGACCCAGTACCCTCAAGACGACTTCCTCACGGATGCGGACATCAACATGTCGTACCCGGACTTCCTGGACCCCATCGACGAAAGCGAAGGACCTGCACATGAAACCCACGGTACCCGTGGTGTAGAAGGCGCCAGCGGACTGATGGTGTCCGTCACTGACTGGTCCAGCGGCCAGATTCTCAAAAAGGCTCAAGAAGCCGCCAATAATTGGGGCCTAGCGCGTCCTCTTGGATATCTTACCTACTGGATCGCACCAGACCCGTCCATAAAGCCCAACTTCCTCCTCCATTGGTTACATCCTGGTGTGTTCGACGACTTTGCGACCCTTCGTCGTCTGATTCCCAATGATCTCCCAGACCCAACAGCGACTTATCCTCCGGACTACGCTCGCCGTGCATACTGGCCACCGGAAATGGCGTCTCCGCCTCCGGTGTTGTGGATCCCACGGGACCCAGCGGGAGTCAGCCGGCAAGAAGTGGAGCATTGCCGGAAGGTTGTGGGGTGCTCGGACGAGGGTGCCGACCTCAATGATAAGTGTAGGATAGAAGTCGATTTGCAGAAGGCTCCTTTTTGGGTGCCGCGAGTGTTATACTAGGTTTTGTCGTACAGCGAGGCGCTTGGAGTACTGAGGGATAATACCTATAAAGATGCTGTATGTTTACTACCGCCAACCTTCTGAAATCAAGGTCATGCACCACACTACGTGTTGTCACTTTCGACGCAAACTGAAGGCGCGGCGTTTATAATCCCGGCTGCCGGTCAGCTGACCGCTCTCGGGTAACGCAGTGCCCCTGTCAGTGACGTATGGAATGCGGCTCAACTTGTGAGCACATTGGTGCTCAAACGCGTCCAAGGGGCTAAACCCCCATCATCAACATGAATGCCACGTTGCCGTTTGCCTAAATGTATGGGTCCCCAGGATTCTGTGCCGCCCGAACCATACAAAAATAAACTCTAAGGGGCGGCCACGTCTGATTGGACTCCCTTCAGACGCAGGTCCAAGGAGATGCTTGACACCCTGCAAGGCCAGTCATTACCAGCCACCATCATCTACTGAGAATTATGTTTGAATGAAGGTTGATTTCGTTTGAATTTTTTGAATGTTCCACGAGATAGTGCGGTGCTTAACGGGTGACGCAGGCGAGACAAACGTTCGATACGAACTCAATACCACTCATGACCACGTCCAGCTCTGCTCAGGCAAGCTCTTCAGCATTTCCATAAGAGGCCCATTCTTTTGCCATCGTTCATTCGTTCATAAACTAGGTGGCGTGATGCTTCTACGTGTATTCCTTGCATCTCTGACCGATGGCGGCTACGGGCTCCTGGTTCTTCACCCAAATCCAGTTAACGCCTGTTCGAATCAAAGTTGGACAGGTCAGTGCAACCAGGTCTCGTGCAGTTGCCTCCGGGGTATGGTGTCTCACTAATTCCTTTTTCCGCAAATTTCATTCGTATTCGAGTTCCTTCTTACGAAAATTGTATGCTATTTCGAGCACCGTCATAGCCGAGTAGCCTCCGATTCCGGCCTTCCAGCTTGCAGCATCACAGTGAAGTGATGATCAAGGGTCATATTTCTTTACTCCAACAACGCACTCCGGTATTGAGCTCTGATTTAGTACGAGACGCGCTATTTCTGCCTGTATCGCACTCGACGAAGATTTCCAGGTCAAGGTTGGGCTCGTGAACGCAGACGCATGGAAGCGAATGCTCCATGTCCGTATCTGTGTATTTACAGATGAGAGGAAAGCATGTGAAAGAACTCTCAGCGACAGGACCATCAAAATAGGAAAGGCTTCCTGGTTGGAATGACCTGAGAGATCATCACCAGGATCATTGGCCGCCTTGATTTCGGGCTTAAACTGTCTCATGTTGATGCCTCTCAGATATCTCAACGGCAATCCCTACTTGGGCTGGATATCCTCACCCCCAAGATGGTCACAGCGTAACTTGGCAAGAAGCAGATGTGACAGCTGACACCAAGACATCAGTCCTGGATAAATATGTTCATCCACTGTTAGGGATCTATTTTGCCAGCCGTCACAATGCCAACGACTCCTCCGCCGCTGCACAAGTAAGAATAATGAATCTGAATTTTGAGTTTCGCTTACCGAATGAGTCTCCATTCTTATGACGAAACTTATGCGGCTGTCCGAAACTCAGAAGCGGCTTGATCTTTGCTATTCGGAGTGGCGGGAGTCCTTTAAAAGTAGGTGCCTCGCCCCTCTGGCATTCCGACTCCTACGTTCCTCATCACATCCGCATTCCAGCTGACTTTCTCCCTCTGAGCAATTCCATGCTTAGGAAAAGATCATTCTCCAGGGCGAAAAAAAAGCAAGCGTATTTCGAACCAGCGAAACCCGCAACATTGTCAATCATCGGTGCGAAGGCTCATCATGGTGAGACTGTTCTTCAATCCCTTGGCGCGCACTCTGAGGATTTCACCCCGCGATCTAACGCCGTTCTCCCTTTCATTTAGGGTGTCTCTCGCAAAAAGTACAAGTGGATTTGGACTTGTGTGCGTCAAAGTTCCTGTCTGACTCTGAGTCAAACGACTCAAGCCTCGTTCACTCCAAAATTTCATAGACCATGACCGCAAGGGGATCTAACACATTCCAGTGCTACTGCGGCCAGGGGGGCCTTTCTGTGGTGGCCGATCCTTGCCCCATGTGCCATTATCCTCGATGTTCCCGCTGCCGGGTAGAAAAGATGCTCGTTCGTTTCGGTCTGGGCCATCATCACCATACGTCCCCAAGAGGAAATGCATAGATCTGGATCGATCTAGACATGATCATGACGGCACTCAATTGGGAAAGCACGCGAGAAGACGACTAACGAGGATTTGGGAACATGTGCACTCAACGCCACGACTTGTTGTCTCAAACTTTATCAATAAACCGTCTTTTGCCTCTCTGTTTGTATTCTTGCAAATTTTCTACGCATGAGCAGTAGGACGTGCTGTGTCTGGAAATCTTCGTGTACCATCTACCAAAGATCTTTCTGGATGCCTCTCTGGAGTCACCCGTTCCTGCAAAGCCCTACAGAAGATGAGGGCAACATATGCCAGTTGTACTTCAATAGTGCCACAAAAGCCTCCCTCCTTTTAGGAAATCTATCGCCTTCACTTCAAAACACAAATCTCAACAATCAATCCTCCGCCAGACCGAGTATTTCCCAACGTGTCGATATTTGCCGCTATCAATCTGAATCAACCTCCCGAGGAGTCTTACCTGTTGAAGCCCGTTGCGCCTTTCGGGCATTATCACCGTATCGTCCCCCCCCCCCCCCTTGTGTATATTCGGTCTTCTTGAGCGCTTCTCATATTCAAAAGGTGCCGTTCACCAAAGACCAGAAAATTTTCGCATATTGCAGATCATTCATACCCATGAACAAAGCCCGGGCGTTTCACAGCTGGCCCTTCCCCTTTCGTATTTTCATCATATTGGATGAGTATTATCGCGAAGAAAACTGGCAGCCCTAATTTTCTAACTCGAGAACCCCTGTGGATCGAGAGAAGATGTACTCTTCAAGATGTAGTGTGGCAGAGGAAACAATGCAGGCATGTTTGCATGCATCCTGTACCCCGTATGCATGTGATTCAAGCAACCCCCTGGGTTTCCATTGGCTTGAGGCCCTTGACAGTTGTTGCAAAGTGAATCCAATCCTGTTCCTGATTGATCAAATCGTTCTATTGAGTGGGGTACCGCCATGCTTTTAGATTCCGAGATATGACGTCCGATCTTCAAAATACATTTTTTTGCTACTAAGAAGACAACGCTAATGCAAGTCATGAAGTCGATGCTAAGCTACAAATAAGTGAACTCATATTCTCCCGCGGTCATATACCAGAATCTCCTCTGCGCATGCCCTCCTTTAATAGATTCAAACCCTGTCATACCTGCCATTCTATGTGGGTTTCTGACGTTCTATAAATTCCTGCTGTTATGAGACGGATATCGAAGCCAGTCCTTGAGCTCGGTTTATTCCGCTTGACCCTATCCACCCTACAACGAGCGCATCGGGGGTACTTGCAATTGACACAAGGGTCTAAAGCTACGGGTATCCCACCGTGGCCACAGTAGCACTGTTGAGTACGTAAGTGGGTGGTCAATCATCATTATAGCAGATCGGCTTTGACTTACACATGTCCACACAAAGCCGAATTTCGGCCTAGCAGGCTGCGGAAAACATCTTAGTTATAACCATTATTGACGAAGAACTGGTTGTGGTGTCTGGGGTCCTAGGCATGACATACCATATTGCGAAGATTTTCTCTCGCCCTTGTGGGAAAGCTAGCCTTCTTCGATGACAAATTGTTCTACCCTACCTGGCACCAAGACACAGTCTCAGCATTAGGGCTTCGGTAGTTCCGTTTTTTTGTTCGTATTTGGAGCTATTGTGAGACGTTTAGCTATGTCGACTGCAGCAAAAAGGGGCAGCAGCGAACTTGCGGAGGGTATCTAAGACTCGCGCAATGTTGAGAGAGGGGGGCAATTGACCGAAGGGGACTCAAAATGTGCGCCGTTATGTCTCGGATGGAACCCAAGAGCTTCCGTGGCTTGTTGAATCGCGTTGGGAAACAATATTCTTCGGTGCGTGACAGAAATGACCTGGTTCTTGCGAGCGCTTTGTGTGTGCCGGGATGAATGAGTGAAATGTCCACTGCGTACTCGAGCAACTTCGATGGACGGAAGATGAAATCGGAAGGGAGACGAACAAGTACCGCAGGTCGCACCAGCATTATGATCACATGATCCAAAGAAGGGGCTGTGTTGGGTCACCTCCTTTGGCAAAAGAGACCTTCACTCGGTCTTTGGGGGTGCCGGTAGTCCACTGTCTCAGACACGGGACAGTGCATTCATTTGTAGCGTTCCATTGGAGCGACTTGGGAAGGTCATTAGCGATGGTGCGGTCTGGCATGGGAACTTGGGTTTGTGGACGATGTCGATTTCTACCACGTGCAAAGTTGGCATCAATCTGGAATCGGGTTCTTAGATGCATCCAGCTGATAATAAACTAGCTGTGCTTCTCAGAAGATATGCTAAAGCGCAGTTATTTCAAAGATATTTCAGCAACGGAAGCCGTTGAACGTCTCCTGAGATTATGGCTGCAAGAAGTTATATGCATGCAAGTGTGTCATCTTGTCACCTGCGCATGCCTACACTGCAGGATACTTGTACCTTTGACATCACTCACCGTCAGAGCGGTACTGAGAAAAGACGCCACCGCTCTCGACCTATCCAAATTGAAGCAAATGTACCGTGCAGCATTTGAATCCGGCAAGACGTTTTGTTGGCGGATTTCATCAACAGTGAAGGACAGCGAGCGACATGGGTGATCGTGCATCGCATGGGTTAATAAAGTGCTGCGAAGCGGAAACAAACCGCCACTCGAACGGGTATTGTCGGATACTTTCCATCTTTCTGACTCCTTACCTACTACGTCCAGCGCGTCCTCGGACTAAGCAAGAAACCTGCTTCTTATTCGCGCCTCCGTCATTGCCGGATTCCAAACTTCACATATTGAGGCCAGGTAGACAGGCTGCCAACAGTCCTGTCCATTCCATCACGATACTTGGCCATTGTCGGGAATCAT